CCCCGTGGCTAGGGTGGGCCACAATAGGGAATCAAAGGTTTATATTGAAATATATAGGAACGATCTTTAAAAACCTTCTTCTCATGAACCACTGGGCTAGAAAAGGTGAAACTTATGTAGAAGGTTCCTGAGGTGATGTAGATTCTAAATTGTTCAAATTATGACCCCCGGGGTAGGGCCACAATAAGTATTACATGGGGGGAAAGTCTGGTTAGAACAGCAGGGCCAAAATTACTCAGGTAAGCGTTGTGGCCCATGGGGCTCTTGTATTATTTACTTATGTATTTGAGATTTTGCTATTCAAACTTCTATTTCTAGAAAATATTTTAAATCGTAATGCGAGTATAAAAATATAACTAGGCAACTATTGGTAAATTTTAATTACACAATTGATTAACAACAGCAAACATCATTAACAGTGACCGAATATAACAGTATAAATATAGTCCAATTTGTTAGGATCAACAAAAATATTTAACTGTATTCAAATAAACACGCAAACAAAAAAATAGAGATCGGAAACTAAAATCACTCCAACTAAAGAAAGATAACTCTTCACTGTGATAAACTAAAAGAAGAACGACAACTCATATATGCTTCTACAGATGAGAAAATGGAATGTTCAAAGGACCGAATTTAAACAATATATCAAAAGAGGGGGAGGGTTATACATAATATATATGAAAAGATCTCGACTATGTAATAAGATGCACCAATTATTAATTAATAATAAATGAGTTTAAGTCTGAAAAAGTGCAGATGTAAAAAAAAAACAACCATGTATTAGTTTTAGAGCATTTCAATAATTTATTGTAAAAATAAATAATTAAAAGGCTATACAACTAATACATGCATCTCTAACTGACACTTATATTCAACATACCAACATAACAAATCACTTTTCCTCCATTTCCCAAGGAAATTATTATTGATTAAATAAACAAATAACAGGGAATTACACAAAACATAACATACTACCGGTAAGCTTAGTTTTTGGTAAAATTGGCAAACTAGCAAAACCGATGTATAACAGTCTAGAAAAAATCAGTTCATGTGCAAGGTATTATAAATACAGAGACATTGATAACATGACATTTTAATACTACACTAATTCAATGACTGGCCTATATATTTGCTGAAAATAGAGATAAGACTTCATAAATGTCAACTGAAAAAGTCTACTCAAAGCGACACTGCATATTCTTATCTTAAAATCAAGAATTTTAACAATATGAAGAAATCAAAATATGTGCATCATTTTTTTTTACATACCATATGTCATATCATTATGATAATTTAGATTGTAACTCCAATGATTAGAATATATTTAAATACAGCACTTTCTAGGGGGAAACACATATAAAATGTACTCATCAAAGTGGCCTTCAATTGAACAGTCAGACACTTTCAAAACTTTCAACATTAGGTTGATAGCAATCAAGTATTATAAAGTCGAAAAATGAGTTTTCTACAGCACCTCCCCCTATGCCAGGTATCACTATACAATCAGTCAGGAGTCTACCCCTCCCAAGTCTGGTTGGAGGTTTCTCACAGTGACAGCTGATTTCATTAGAAAAGTTTTTTTGAGCCTTTCACTATACAGTAAAACATGTGCCTGGGACTGACAATTTTGCTTCATTATAAACCTAATTCATTACATCCTTTAAGTTCACAATACTTTTTTTCAACATGGAGAAGGAAAATCACTTTGCTATAAGCATACTTCATTATGTGTTCACTATAGCATGAATTCATTATAAACCTGTTTATTATAAGTGTGTTTCACTGTATACTGTAAGCTCAAATCACAGGTCACTGTCTGCAGCTTCTGAGCAATGAACAAGTATTAAGTAATGTACTAAAACATGCTTCAGAATGAAAAATAAAAAAAATGGTGCAATAAATTCTTTTGTCATAATTTACAGCATCTAGGTGATTGTTGTTCACAACTTGGCATTCACACAATGCAAAATTCTTGTTACATAATAAAATGTCAGTTTTAGAACCTAGTATGTTATATCATATAGTCATACAATAAACAGATTCTTGATATTCTAAAATCACCAGATGTGCATATAGCATTTTAAATCAATATTCTGTAGCCAAAATTTGGTTAAAATACAGTATTAGTTAGGACTGCTGATCTGTAATGGTTACAAGGACCTGCTGCATAACCACCATTATACTGTCATTACTTGCTCTTTAAGTAAGTACCAAACAGGCTGCTCAATAAAAATACATGTAAATAAAAAATGTTCAGTGGGATTAGGTTTTCCTTTAAGCATTGTAATGGATTTTATTTCACGGCTCTGTGATTTCTCATGCAGATGGGTAAGACGAAACTGTGAAACTTACACTGTAGCATTCACAAGAAATTAATATGGGTAAAAAATGTAAACTATAAATTGAGCAAACTGAGAAAAAAGAAGATTTTCATTTAAAAAAAAACAACAACAAAATATTAGAATAACGTATGTGCAAATCAGTGGTGTGTAAAGTATGGTGTGTTTGAAAATATATTAAAAAAGTATTCCGAGGAGACAGCTAGTACATGCAGTTAATAATAGACTGAAAATAAAAAAATAGTGGTGGGGGCACTTTCTAGGAAACAGGCACTATTAAGGTATACACTGTATATGCTACTGCTTTAAATATATATATATTCACAGAATTCCTAACATTACGTAAGAAAACATAATAATATTTGAAAAATAATGAAGGCAAAATATTGTTCTTAGACCAAACACACAAAAGTATTATTTGCACTGTCGATTATTTTCATGCTAGAAATTCTTGCAATTATTGAGAAACATGTGGTCACAATTAATACTATGTAAATAATTTAGCAGCCTGATTGTTTGCCAAATGCATGTTGTTGCAATACAAACATCAAACAATATAGCCTATATATATATATATATATATATATATATATATATATATATATATATATATATATATATATATATATATATATATACCCTCACATACTGCTGTATATCATAATATAAATTTCAAAGCTAAGAAAGCATGCAAATGTTGATTTATGAAGGTATGAAATTTTATCAAAATTCTGCTTTATAATTAGACTTTAAACTGAAGTGATGTTAAATTTTTTTTCTCTCTTTCTCTTCTACAGAAAACAAAATTAATAATCCAGGACATACACAAAGACACAACATCTATAAATAACTATTCCTTGTTAAAAAACTAACAATTATCAACAGTACAAAACATAGTATGTACTGGCCATTAAAAAATACAAGTTCCCTGTATAGCCTAGACGAAAAACAACATAAAAATTAAAGTTATTTAACAATAATGAATCATTCTGCACACAATACATTTATTATGACAGATATTAACAGATAAAACACAATGATGAAATTGATATTTTAACACTATAAATCGATTGTTTAGGGTACAAACTTCAGAGGCAAGCTGTACTAAATGTTATAAAAACTGTGTCAACACTCAAGTGATGTTACAAACTACTTAAAAAAAAGAGTGTTGAAGGATTATGACACTGGCATGTAAATGATGTTAATTTCCTTAAACAGTATACACATAAACATTTATAACACACCAAATATTACCAAATGAGGAATATTAAAGTAAGGTACTTAGGAGTGCAGAATATAAGTATAAGTATATATATAATATATATATATATAATGTTGACAAAATATGTGCACCAATATTTTAATATATAACAAATAATGTTATTCATAAATGTATTATGCTAGCAGTATACAAGAGCTGTAATAGGCAAATACAAACTGTGCTTCTCATATTTAAAATGTTTTAAGATCATTCAGTTTGTCAACAATTTGGCAATACATGTATCAGGAATATTTATCTGAAAATCATAAATAAGATAAATAAACATAAAATTAGATAATCATTAATCATGTTATAAAACTCATGTAAAATTTTTCATTAAGGCAAAAATCAAAAGCCAACTCAAAATGAAAAGAAACAAAAAAAAAGCAAAATATAAACCAATGGAAAAGAATGGCAAGTTGTCATTGTAAAGCATTATACAGAGATGATTGCAAACTAATGAAAATAAAATGTAAAACATAGGTAATTGGAGATAAAGAGGTCACCTCAACAAATGTTGTCTTTAAGTAAGGCAAAGTCCCACACTAAACTAATAATATAGTAGTGTGCATCCCTAGATGCAACATTTATACAATTTTGGTCTGATAGGGCATGCAGTTACTTGGGAATGGACTTATCTAAAAACTTTAAACTAGTCATTCATCCAGAAAATGTAAGTCAAATCCAGCATCTGAAGCAAGTTTGAGTGTGTTCGTCCCTTGATGCACCATCCATGCAAGTTTGGTTCAGATAGGTCATACAGTTTCTTGGCAATGGACCTGCTCCAAAAACTTTAACCTGATCACTCATCCAGAAAATGAAGGTCAGATCCAGCATCCAAAGCAAGTCAAGTAGTGTGCATCCTTAGATGTATCATCCATGCAAGTTGAATCAACATTGAACTTATATTTACTTGGAAATGAGATCTGCTCTAAAAACTTTAACCTGGTCACTCATCCAGAAAATGTAGGTCAGATCCAGCATCCGCAGCAAGTCCAGTAGTGTGCATCCTTAGATTTATCATCCATGCAAGTTTGGTCAATATAGTTACTTGGAAATGAGATCTGCTCCAAAAACTTTAACCTGCTCCAAAAGCATTAACCTGCTTCAAGAACATTAACCCGGTCATTCTTTAGATGAAATTGCAGCATCTGAGACCTTGACTGGTACTATGAAACACACTAGAAGCATCCTCCATGCATCTCTGATAGATATAAGGCATAGAAGTTCACAAAAAGAAATCTGCTCCAAAAACTTTAACCTGGGACGCTGACGCCGAGGGTATTACATAAGCCCCCCCCCCCCCCCCAACTTCATTGAGGTGAGCTAAAAATAGCTATTTTTGTAATAAAATGATTTTCACATAGGCTTTCAAAACAAAATCAACTTCGAATACATTTTTCACAATATTAATTCACAAAAGAAATTATACACATGTTTCAGCATTTGAAGTGACCAAGTTTCTCTGACAATCGGCATTATCCACCAGGATTTCTCGCTGTTTGGGAGTTCTACTGCTGACGTATGGTTTCTTTTTAATGAAAGACTTCAAGCATTTTCCTATTGGTACAAAGATCAGTAGGACACCAGACAATGCAATAAAAATTCCTCCCGCCAAAAATGTATGATCATAGGAGCCTGACATGTCATACAGAAAACCTGTAATCAGAAATAAAGAGTTTCAATCACAGATAAACCTATACAGTCAAACTTGTCTAACCCAAATGGTGTGTATTAAGAAAACTTGCATATTAAAATGAAAATTGTAGTACCTTTTGGTAAATTTAATCATTTAAAATCTCATCTAATCCAGAATGTTGTCTAGTCTGGAAAAATTCTTTTGAATCAGTGGTGTCCTGATTAGACAAGTATTGGGACTTTCAATAATATTGAAGTGAAGAGGTGAATTTATCCATTTGAAGAGGCATTTAGAATTATATCCAATAATTTATTTACCGGTAGCCAATTATGAAATTTGGAGCAACAATTTCAATCATTGAAACGATGATGAATTGCCTCCCGTTAGCCCTTTATTAGAAGCCCCGAGTTTTACAGTACATGCATATATGTTGAATACCAAGGATATATCAAGTGTGTTTATTTCAAACAGCATTACAAATACCATTCTAAAGATTGATATTTTGCATCCTCAAATATCTCTTTTTTCCTCAGCCCCAGGAAGTTTTTTGCAAGGTTTCATTTTAATTCTAATTAGTTCATCAATTCATTCATGATATGACAAATGCTACTTAGATGACTAAAAAATCAGTCACATTACAGCTATTTATCATATGATTAGATTTTTTGTCATTTTATTTTTTTTATTTCAAGAAAAAAAAAAAATCATGTTACTTTCATCCCAGTCCATATCATGGCACATAGAATTAAATCAACATCATGATAGCTAATTGATCCATGGTTATGGACAATGTATCTATCTAAAAGAAAACAAGTGTTTCAATGCTGCTAAGGGTATTTGTCAAACATCAACTTATTACAATTTCTTTCATAAAAATGCCTTTAAAATTCAATCAGATAAATTACCAGGTAATCCCATGTTTGAAGGGATTCTAGTCAAATTGATAAAGGTGTGGCAGGCAGACAGGTTTCATCGCCGGTGGACAGATAGCTCAGTTGGTAGAGTACCTGAATGGGTGGAGATTCAGGGGGCCCAGGTTCGAATCCTGGTCTGGTTCATCACATTTTTCTCCTCTCTGGTTACAAAGGTGTGATATGATTTTTGATGCAGCCTTATGCTTACAACTTGGATGCATGACTTTGAGTTAACATTACGCCATATTTAAATGTATACCTCCCAATTCTGTATGGGAGACATAATTGAAATTCAGAAATGCTTAAAGCTTAATTGAATACTGCTTTCAGTATTCTGTGAGAGTTGGTATTCATGGGTTTCTTTCACTGATAAGAATAAATGGAATTTAATTGGTTCCTGAAAGAAAATAATAGAAGCATTTAACTTACCAGCCACAGGAGGTCCTATAATATTGGCTAATCCCTGCATCATCATGGTTAGTCCATAGGAATTAGTCAGCTTATCAATCCCAACAATTTCCACCAGAATCACAGTACTCAATGCATAGTTGGCACTGATAAAGAATCCAAATAGTCCTGCAATTATACACAGTGGTATGAAAGACATGAACCATGGCACAACCATCACAGCTAACCCTGAGAACATGATGGACACTCCATAGAGCAAAGTCAGATCTATATTCTTATCCCCTATAAACCCATACATAATCTGCCCAAAGGTATTCACAATTCCAAGGGCTGAGATAATGAAAGCTGGATTTTCTATTCCCTCTTCTTTAGCAATGTCATTCAAAAACACATATGGAACATCATACCAGAAGTACAAGATGAAGTTGGATACCACAAACAGAAGAAAGGAAGGATTTTTCATGATTTTGAAATCAAACATCAACTTGAACATTTTCTTGATGTGTTTGGATAATCTCAGGAGCCTTGGTATAGGAAAACAGTCATCATCTTCTTCATCGGAACTGTCATCTAATATCTCTAGGTGTAGTTCTGGACAACTCCTAGATCTGATCTGTGGAGTTGATGTAAATTTTGTCAAACTCCTTCTATAGAAAAGGTCTTTTCTGTACAGTGGATAATATTGCATAATTGTCTGTGGGGAAGGGTTTTTCTTCTGGGAGCTAGGCTTTTTCTTGTGTCTTTTCTGTACCACTTGATCTACAACATTCCCATCTTCATCAGCAAAGACAATATGTTCATCACTTGTGACCATTAGTTGGTTGCTAGGTGATATGTCTGGATAAGATGTATTATTTTTTGTGTTCTCTGCATCCAAGTTTTGAAAGTATTGCTTCAGGATATGCTGCAAGTTGCTGCCATTTTTTCTTATGTCACTTAACATCTCAATTGGAATATTTCTGGATTTCTTTATAAATGTAGGAAGTTGTACCTGAGAGTGACTAAGCTGCTCTATCTGAGCTAAATCTTCTGTTTCACTATCCGAACTCAGCTCATCTGAATTACTGACATGACGACTGCGATTGTGCAGACTAGCTTTTGAAATCGTTCTTGACATATTTTCAAATTTTTCTAAATTTCTTCTCCATTCTTCCATAGGAGTAAATTCCAGAGGTCTCATAAGGGCTCCACAAACGACCAAATTTAAAGTCACGCCACTAAGAATGACAAAAGATCCTCTCCATCCATACTCTTCAATGAGGAACTCTAAAAATGGAGCAAATGCAAATGTACCAATTCCAGACCCACATACAGATAACCCAGTGGCCAAGGATCGTTTCTTCTCAAAATAGTAGGCCACAATGACCAGTGAATTAACATACCCAATAGAGAGCCCAAATCCTGCAACGAAACCAAAAGTAAAACAGATAAGGCCAATGGAATCCACAAAGGCACTAGCCAAGACTCCAACACTTGTGATCAATCCTCCAAGAATCTGGGCTTTTCTGCATCCTAATTTAGTTACAATGGCACTGGCTATAGGTCCACAAACCAGAGGGATTCCATAAAATAAGGATGCAATAATAGAGGTAACACCTTTACTCTGTCCGAAAACATCCGACAGCTCCGTAAAAAGTACACCAAATGATAATGTCAGTCCATCACTTATCACCATAACAAAGAAAGCACTGAGGACGATTACCCATCCATAACCCCCATCTGGAGCAGGGGGCATTGAAATGGAGGAGTCACTTGATGAGGAAGATCCTTCAGATGAGGAAGCAGTATTGGAAGACACACTACTCCTGGATTCATGACGCTTTCTTGATACTTGATCTTGCTCCTGTTCAAGCATTTTTTAGTTAAAAGGCTCTCAAGATAAAGGTTATTGCTATTGAAAAATTCTGCTAGGCTGATTGAAAATATAGAGGAAAAGCACAGTTTAGTCATTGGTCGATGCAGATGTAGAATGCTCTGGACACAGAGAGTATAATCCCATAAATGACCAGCCATATGATTCCAATGTGGGAATATTCTGCAAAATGAAATAAGAATTATTATTATGTCACATTATATCTAGAGAATTACCTGTTCATAAAACTGACCTTAAAATCTTTCCACAGCCTTGGAGTAATGCTAAGTTTTAAGCTTTGTTCTTTAATATTAAGTAAGTCTGCAGAGCTAAAAGTAGATAATGGAGACATCTACCAGTGTCAGCACATTTAACTGTGTGGAGAATTAAAGGACAGACTTAACAATTAATTGTTGATTTTGTCTTTTAAACTTACCAATACTAAGAAGTTAAACATATTCAGATCCTAGTTTTTCAACTGACAAATGGTTTCAAATATTTTGATATACTTTATATTAAATTTTATAAAGGGAAAAGAGGTTGCAGTTGCTGATTACACTAGCTGCCATCAATATTCAAAGGAAATGTCATTTAAACTGTGCACAGTGACCTGACAACAGAACTAAGGCTTACACATCAAGTGTTTTCATAATCCCTTTTAAAATCAAAGGTAACGCCAATAGTACAATATGCCCTTAATTAATCAATAAAATCAATTTCATTTCAAAGTTTCAAGGCCTATACCTCTTCATGTAGTGAATTAGAAGATTTAAAAGTAAAAAGACCATGAAAAGAATTTTTAGGGAAATCTAATAAAACAAAAATGAACGCACATGTCGAGGAAGAAAATTATGTACACTGTCACACGAGATGTTTTTAAATTTGAAAAATATGTTTTCAAAGAAGGAAATCAAAGAACTAAAAACCAACTAAAAATATTTTAATACTTTCATTAATTTAGCACAAATCTGTTTGGCATACAGTTTCCACATCCCATGTCTAAATAAATAAAACAAGAAGTCTGTGAGCCAATGTTCACTAATAAAACCACTGCTCTGATGTGAATACACAAGTTCAGTTATGGACAGACACAGTGATAATCAGGAAATTGACATCAGATTTGTACAAGAATGAATCCAAACATATGGCATGCCTAAACAATGAGTGTGTTAAAATTTCAAGCACCTGCAATGAGTAGTTGCTGAGAAAACTGTGACCAAAATTTGTTATGTATGGTATGGACAGACACACAGATAAACAGGAAGTTGACATTGGATTTGTACAAAAATGAATCCCACTACCTGGTATATGGCATACCTAAACAAAGAGTGTGCTAAAATTTCAAGCATCTCCAATGAGTAGTTGCTGAGAAAACTGCGACCAAAATTTGTTACAGACAGACACACAGACAGACAGACAAACAAGGGTAAAACAGTATATCCCCCTCATCTTCGGAGCGGGGGTATAAAAACTTAACTGCCCAAACTTGAAAATCCTATTTTGTAGGGGTGGAGGTGGGGTGGGGGCCTTACAGCAGCAAAAAGGGAGGATGTTTACTACAGCAAAAGACCATACTCATAAAAAAGTGAGGGGAGGGGCCTTTCATTTGAGCTATCTTGAATCCCCTTCAACCAAGATTGCTTTGTGGTAAGTTTTGTTGAAAATAGCACAGTGGTTCTGAAGAAGAATTCAAAAATGTAAAAAGGCAGACAGATGGACAACAAACTTTGATCAGAACTTTCATCTCAGGTAAGCTAAAACGGGTGAAATCTCAACTAAGCATAGTAATGAAGGATCTCAAAATCATGCTTGTCAATTTGTCATAAAACCAGTATTCATTTTAATTAACAACATGCAAAGATGCCACACTTAAAGAAAATTTACAATTTTCCTCTTTTTCATTTTAATTTCATCAAATTCTAGATAAACTGCTTACTAAATGGAAAACACATGCTTTAGAGTACAAGCTAGCCTATCATTGAATTTTCTCCTTTCAAATATCAGAGACATCTAACCATGTTAAATATCACAATAATTAACCTACTCAAATTTATCTCTCATTTAGATGTAAAGATAAAATGATGAAGACCTCTGAATAACAAACCTTGTAATGGTTAACCATTACATGAAATCCCACCATTGAGAAATGGAATCACGTTTCATCTTCAAGTTAAGCACTGGAAATTCTATCCTAACTATAGGACACGGATTAACCTTTAATTTGCACTGATCTGATTTACAAGAGTTTTTATTACAGAACTACAATATTAAAAGAATTCGTTCATCTCTGAAGCTTAGATAAGCTTACATTTTATCAGTATCTGATGTTAAGGATATTGGCAATTGTTCTAGATCACCCACAGAGAAAATATACATGTCATCAATAGAGGATAAAATTAAAACAAGCAGGATGTTGTTATAATCAAGCAATAATCATGATGCAATAACCATCATCAAAGACAGAATGCTGCAAAGTTCAAAACAGCGATGACCATTCGATATTTGACATGCATGTACCGGTAATGATGATAAATAATATTATAATTTTATATGTATATATATAAGCTTATATGATATAGTAAAGGTAATCGATTACAAAATCTGTAATCCGTTAGTCCAAAAAATAAAAAATAAAAATGAAATGTGTATTTTTGAACACAATTTCAAAATTTCATATCAAATTTTTTTAAAAGATGAATAAATAAACCCTGATCCTTGATGCTATGGTTTTGAAGTATCTAATTAATAAGCTAATTAAAGATAATTAAGGTTCTCCTGGTATTGATATAATTGCAGCAATTGGTCAGTTTGTGAAATGTTAGTTACTGTTTAAACAGCGCATCAGTGCTCAGCCTATCCTTAATTTCTTAATGAGTGGAAAATAATGAAATCACTTTCGGGTACTGTAAATGTTATAGTGAACCTGCTTTCAATGCGTATCTTACCCAGTGTACCAAGTATACTTTGCGTTTGTCAATCAAATAAGATTTTCAACTAAAATATGTAATTTATCAATCGTTCTGATGATAGCGACAATACAAGATGCGACAAGGTATGACTTGAGAAGTTTTTTTCATATGTTCTTGATATATATCAGACATGTTTCATATTTTTTTAAATATAGAAATTATATTCATAATTGTATGTTTAAACATAATCAGAATATTACTGATGACTTTCCTAGTTATTTGTGTATATCAATACAAATAAACCTTACTTGAGGAAAAAAAAAACTACTGGTATATGTATCTATTAAGAATACCAATCCATATGTATTTTGCTAAGATTAACCAGTTAATTGGTTGGATCATTATGTGCGGTTAATCGATTGGCAATTTTGTAATTGATTGCCATCCCAAATATATATATATATAATTATATTATATATATATATATATATATATATATATATATATATATATATATATATATATATATATATATATATATATATACCGGTATATATAAATTTAAACAACAATTTAGAGCCTACAGCCTACACTACCTCAAAAAGTTTCCATATAAGTTTCAGCTATCCTGATCCAGTGGTTCTTGAGAAGATTTTTAAAGATTTTTCCTATGTATCTTAATGTAAAACTTCAATCAATCCCCCACCCTATCCCCAGAGGCCATAATTTAAAAAATTTAGAATGTACACTACCTCAGGGAGCTTCCACTTAAGTTTCAGCTTTCCTGGTTCAGTGGTTCTTGAGAAGAACATTTTTGAGGATGTTTCCTATGTATTTCAATGTATAACTTTGATTCACTATTGTGGCCCCACCTTACCCTGGAGGCCATGATTTGAGAATCTACTCTATCATAGAAAACTTCCACCCTAACCCCAGGGGCCATGATTTGAACAATTTAGAATCTACACTACCACGGAAAGCTTCCACATAAGTTTCAGCAATTTCATGGTTGATGACATTGTTGCAAACCACAGCCAAACTGTACGATCCTCTCCCATTCTGGCCGTGGTTGAACGAGATGAGAATATTTTGTAGCTCATTAAAATATTGACCAATGCGAGTAAAGCATAGTTGGAAAATGAAGTTTGACGCGACCTTTCAATACCCAATCACAGTATACGAAACATGTCTTGTATACTGTTGATGTCAATTGTTGATTTCAATTGCGATGAAAACAAATATTGTCACTGGCTGAACATGATGTCACAATATAGAGGCGTGAATATTCAAGATTATTATGCCTCTACTGTTATTACTCTATATAAAATTAATACCACAACTGTCTATTTCCCTGAGAAGATACTATATCCCTCATCGGAGGACTACTCCCTGAAAAATCGGAGCTACTCCCTGGGACTACTCCCTAATGAATATTTATTAATAATTTTAACCAATTAAAATGAACAGTGGGCGGAGCGTTCAAGGAATCTCGGGTCTGTGACGTAATGTTATTAGCAATGTAACTATGACATCAAAACATTTTGACATGTAATGTCAAAATCATACTGGAATTCTAGCAAAATGAAGACAACGATAATCCTTCAAAGTGTCAGTGAAATTATTTTATATTTTCTAATAATTTTATTTTCCTCGGTATTGATGCGTTAGTTATCTTACAATATTTTTAATCACATGCATTTGTGATTATTTAAATGCCTCTATATTGTTTTAAAAAATGTCCGAGTCTCTAGTTTAACATCCCATGATTGTTTCGGTATAATAAAACAGTTATGGAATGGGTACTCGGGAAATATCAAATCTATGGTTCCCCTCGGCAGGAAACTATTTCCCTCGGCGGCTTTGTTGCCTCCCTTGGGGAACCATAAATTTGCTATTTCCCTCTTACCCATTCCAGAACTGTATATTATGACACTTTTTGTGATCAAGCAGCCATGGGTAGGAGAGAGCTATATGCGGACTTCGGACGGTGGCTTGAGACGATTGGTTGATGAAGAAGAAAAACAAAGTAAATGAAAATATTATTAAGTGAATTAAAACCATAACTTTTTAAAGAATCTTTACTACCACTGGTACAACATGCTAATTTTATTTTGAATTATAAACATAAAAACATTTAGCCTTTTAAAAGTCTGTTTTCATAAGGGCAATCTTGGATGAGTGAAATCTGATGGATGAATGAAAACTTTATAATTCACACCATTTAAACTTTAGTAGTTTTTTCAAACATCACAGAAGTATGCTATTGATTTATGTTCCTGTCTCTACTGACTTAAAATTTATTTTTAGACTTTAAAGGCCTTAAAAAGGAAATATATGTCAATAAGGGAGCTTAGATACATGTAGGTCTTCTATACACTTCTAATAATCAAACTGATAAGAGTAGACTAGAGACATAAATTACAAATGTTATTTATGTCCCTGGGTAGACATACTCAAGGCTTTCAAAAAGATTAGAAACAGAAAGTACTCTTACAAAAATAGGAGGTACCTTGTAGAAGCAATTTTTTATTAAATCAAATTTTGTTATCAATGTTGAAATTTTTAAAAAAAATGTTATAAAATTTTTCTCCATCAAATATTTTTGCCAGTTCAGTCATGACTTCACTCAGGTAAAAGTACAGGGTAGCGGCAGATTTTGAAAGGTCTGCATCCTGATCTGCTTGCATTGCAAAGCTAAAAGTTAGATAGATCAGTAAAAGTTACATTTATTTATTTGTTGTTTTACATTTTTATCACAACTGCAGCCCTGCACTTTTTAGTTCCCCCAGTAATTATCCTCTTACTTGATAATGTATCATCTCTTTTGGGTATCACTATGTTTGATATATTTTGCAATGAACTCTTTTTCAATATATTTACATTTGCAAATGTTTTCTTTCATATAACGCTATTAAAAGCAACGCGTATCTATATCCGTATAAACACGGGTTCCTCACGTCATAAATGTTTCAACGTAATTTCTCGGTGATGTCATAAAGGGTCAACGCGCAATCAATAGATCAAACTTAAAATTGTGCCGTTGAATTTGAAAAATAAAACATTTCATGCGTTAAAGATTATAATCAGGCAAATATAAATATGAATAAGTCACAAATGTAAATATAAGTAATAAGGTATCATTTTAAAACATCTACCGGGATATATTCCGATAGATGTTTAAAAATGACACCTTATTTCTTAATTGTCAAGTCATAATTGCATTGGAAATCTATACATATAACACGTTATATAATATGTAAATATTGTCTCCCAATATCATATTGATGTAAAAGAGATAACTGTCACATGGACAGAAATTAAAAAAATATGCATTTATTGATTGCACAGACTAAAAAGAAACATCTCCAAAATGAAATGAATCTGATGCTCTGTTATTTTCATTAAAAATTTTCATAACTCTGCATATTAAAAATAGTTTTCGCATATCGGCCTAATTATTGAATAATTCAACCAGGTAAGATACTTTTGCTTAGCAACCTTCTGAACAGCAGTATCAGTTTATCATGGGACTGTTTAACTTTAAGGACATAATTTTTTCTTCATGGTTCAAATCAGCTGTTCATTGTTGACAAAAGCAAAGACAGTTATAAATAGCAATCAATCAACCGTGCAGTTACTGTGCTCCAAATAATACACTGGGATTGAACGAAAAAAAAAAAAAAACTTACCCCATGTCACCTCAGAGAACGTCACATTAAACAGCGTGTGTTACAAGAACTGTCCTTTAGAAAAATTTGGCTCTGTGAAAGTGGTTTCTGTGCAGAACGTTGGAGATTCAGCCTCTTTGCGCAGACAGTAACCTTTTGACCTATCGTTGAAATTATTAGAGTTATTCCCCTTTGCGAATTAGTGCACTTTATAAAAAGACGGTTTATGTATGTTTTCAATATTTCACATTCTATTATATATTAACCAAATAATAATAATACTATAAAAAAAAATCACAGGAGCAGAGACAGAACAGATAATTTATGTCAATAAATCTTTAATCATTTTTTTTTCATTATTTATATTGTCATATTTTCTTTTATTTATTTGTATTTTCATTTTTGCACTTGTAGCTAAAAATGTCCTACTCAGCCCTAATTATTCTTTGTACTCTCTCTCCACTTTTTTTTTTTTTTTAAATTTTTTTTTTAATTTTTATTCATTTATTTATTATTTATTTATTATTTTATTTTATTATTTTTATTTATTTATTTTTATTTTTTTAATTATTTTTTAATTATCTTTTTATTTTTTTATTTTTATTTATTTATTTATTTATTTATTTTTTTTTGGTGCTTGGCATGGAATCACAACCAAGGGACGACTATTTGGTTGTGAAAGGGGAGCAGATTTTGGAAATTTGCCCTCAGAAATGTTGAATACTGAAAAATAAATAATCCGTCCTCCACTGGATAATCTGTCATTGCCTGGTGGTTACCCCCCCCCCCCCCCCACACACAATAGAGTTTAAGAGTTTGATAGCTATCCCTTTTTTTTTTTTTTTTGCTCGTTAAACTTTTTTCAGTGAATAAGATAATAAATGATCTGTCCCTTATAAATCTGGAAATAAATAATCTCTTCTTCACTGGCATGAAAATAAATTAATAATCTGACTCGACACCCCCCCCCCTCCTCAATCAGAATCAATGGTCGTCCCCTTAGCAAGTGCCAGTGCTATTTTATGGATCATATGTGCTGAGCAATATCAACGTCGCTCTCTGTATTACTATGTACAATATTGACGTGTTATTTATCAGCTCCGGACAGTACAATAGCCATCGGATTATTGACCGTAAGGCGGTTACGCCAAGTTACGTCACCTAGGGATATACGATTAAACGTGTTTGGACGCAGATCGATTTGATCAACAGACGAAGCATATGTTTCGTGCATTTCAACAAAGATGGCCAACTGAAGAACATTAATTCTATCCCAAGAGGTAGGTATTATGCACTTTCTATTTGATTTTAAATATGTTCAGTTCGCATGTTAATTCACTTTTATACCTATGCCATGCTTCAATCAGATGAGATTGCAATTATCTCATTGGAAGAATTTTGCGTAGTCGGTACGTTTTATGTTAAAAAAGAATAAAAATCCCACAATTTCTGTAAAATTAATATAATTCAAACTTCTGCAGGTTGACCAACGTTCAAACGATGTGTTCATGCATTCACCATATGATCATACACTAACAGTGGTCCCCTTTTAACCCATGTTTAATTATATATTAAAAAAAAAAGATTTGGTTATTCACTGTAAATTAAGGCTGATACGGTCTTTCGTGTCTGCAATTGCTGAATTATCTTTTATCTCCATTATATGATTCACTGATCATCCAACCTATGTTTTTTTCTGTTAAGTTTCTTGAGATGGAACATCCTGAGCTCGTTTGCCCCCCCCCCCCCTTTTATTTTTTTTCAAATTTCTTGATCAGCCACTTCACAGTGCACTATTTAAAAGCAATGCAAGAATTTATTGGACTTAATAGTGGGTATTATTAATTTCTGATCTTTTTACAGTAAAAACAAGCAAATAACACTCTTTCAAACACAAAGTATGTACTAGTTATTTTATTACATTCTTATTAATTTTTTTTTAAGTATTTTTAATTATTTTAAAATAAAATTAAATCAGTTGACACTTGATAAACAAGTTTGACGCTGGAGGGCTAAAAGTGTTCTTGCTGATACTCTATAAAGATTAAGAAAAATTGAAACAGGTTCTCCTTTAGACATAGTACAAAACAAAAACAACTCTGAAATTCCCAAGGGGACAATTGCATTGGATTTCTCCACATAGATGTAAAGATAACTACATATTATAGTTGACTTGCAGAAAACTAGCAATGTCTAGAAACCCAGTTTTCGTTCGTTCGTATCATTCAAGTAAATGTAAAACCAACAACAAAAAAAGGTAAGCCCCAATTTTCAATTCCTTTATTATGTTTATCTTTGCAAAAAAAGTGGGGGGGGGGGGCTAATTGGACTTGATTTTATACGATGTACCTATTATCTTTTATTTTAAGATTGCTCAAATGCAAGGAACATGTGACATGTTTTGACGCTTCGAATTATTAAAACAATTCTCTTTCATTTTAAATTGTTTATAATTAAGGGCATTTTGATAGCCAGAACAATCAATAAATGAATAAGCAGTAACTAACTGTTTAAAAATTTAACAGCCACCTGGCGTTTGGATAGTTTGAGATTACCCCCCCCCCCCAATTTATTTCATAATAAGCTTTAAAAATATCGACTAGCAAAGTTTGAATACTCACTAAAATTAAAACTAACTGCATGTACAGACCAATTTATGAATTCGATTGTTGGGGAAATCATGAATTTAGGAAAATTAGATATCTAAATTAATTTCCTATATTCTTGCTATCCAACGTTACGCTGCATTAAATTTTATGTTACATTTTAAACAGATTAAGGGTTTTGGGGTTATAAATACGTCAAGTACCAGTGAAGTTTGAAATAAAATTTTATTTTCAGAAAATGTTCCGAATATTCGACTATCGTTCGAATAATGCAATCGAATAATCGACTAAGGAAAATAAATATTTTGACATCCCTAATATATATATATATATATATATATATATATATATATATATATATATATATATATATATATATATATATATATATATATATATATATATATATATATATATATAAACTATCTGTAATGCCATCATTGCAAGCCACGATCAAACTGTACGATCCTCTCCCATTAGGAGAGAGTTTACACATGTGCAGACTCCGGACAGTGCATTGAGACGATTCTGCATAGTATGAATCCATGAAACTGAATACATGCCCCCATGTAGCGCATTGTCCGCATATAGTGGACAAGAAGAAATATAGGGTAGCTCTAGTGATACCACTGACTTACCAGCATACGTTTATCCATGCGGTATTTTTCTGTTTTTTCTTTGGCAATATATCTCACGCGTATAGGAATAAATAACAAATAAATAATAAATATGACACGTCTTGACATCCTACAATTTGGGGGGAAAATACCTGCTCATCATCTTTTCACATTGCAAAGGTATTCGAAATGTAGCATCATAGCTTACCGAGACAAATTATCATTTACATTACAAACTCTTGATAATCAGAAGCGATAATTCGACTTGATTTCTCACAAATCAGATCATTTCATCACTTGTAGTACACAGTGTTTGCCTACCGCCCCAGAGGTACATATGCTCCATGTGCACTAGTGGTACTGGTAAATTCTCTACATTAGTGCATTATATTGAGATCCTCAGCTGCAGGGTAGTTACCGATTACTCTATTATAGCAAAAATATTATCAATCAATTTGTTAAATTAAAAAAATTAATAAAAACTCGTCTAGAACTGTAATTATAGATATAGATATCATCAGATCAGATAGGGTTCATCAACTGTAACAAATGTCAATCTCGGAAATATATTGCCCAAAATCCTATTTTGTAGGGAGACGGGGAGGGGGAGACTTTCCTAAATCAATTTTCTTCAGATAGATGACTCTCCTTACTGTTTAAAAAAGGGTCCATGTTTCCTGGGAAGGTGCCAAGGTTAGTTTTTCCTTACTGTTTTAAGAGGGGTCATTGTTTCCGAGGGGAGTTCCAAGGTTATTTTTTGTTACCACCCACCCCGACCCCCCTCAAGAACCGTCTATGAACAAGTATTTTTGAGCGTTTTGAATTTATTACACAGATACACAACAAGGGAACAAAAATGGAGGGAGAATCGTCAAATGTTTCCAGTTGCCTACTGGAGGGTCTCCGTAAAATGTACAAGTCTCAGCGGTTCACTGACGTCATCGTCAACGTGGAGAACCAGTCTTTTCGGTGTCATCGGGTCATACTGTCGTCTGTTTCTCCGTATTTCGACGCCATGTTTTCTTCTGGAATGAAAGAATCCAACTCCATGGAAATAAATCTTCATAAAACCAACTCTAAATTATTTCACGACATCCTTCAGTATGTGTATTTAGGAAAAGACATCGTGAAACCAGATACTGTTGGGGATCTTCTGCAGATTTCCTCAATGCTTCAAATCACGTGTCTGCAGATCAGATGTGAAGAATACATAATAAGAAACATAGATGTTAACAACTGCTTAGGAGTCTGGAAACTAGGAAGGTCACATAACATTGAAAAACTAGTAGACAATAGCCACCCTTTTATTTTAAATAACTTCGATGACGTTTGGGAAAGCAGTGACTTTTTGAAACTTGAAAAGGACGAATTGGAATGCCTTATTCGTGACGAAAGGCTAAACGTTTCTTGCGAAGAGGTCGTCTGCAAGGCTCTTTTTCACTGGATAGCAGCAGACGAGATTCAAAGGAAAATAGCATTTCCGGAGCTCTTCGAACACATCAGACTCACCTCAGTCAGCCTTGAATTCCTACTCGATCAAGTTGATCAACATCCTATGATTCTTGAACATAGTGCTTGTCAAACTTCGGTGAAAAATGCCATCAAATACCATGCGTTGCCGTCAAGGCGCCAAGAGCTAATTTGGGACGAGAAACCGTATCGGAATAACACAGAGCAGGAACAGATTCTGGCAATCGTGGGAAAGCGCCTTTCGAGCAATGATTCAATTGTTACAGAATTTGTCGGATACAGTTTCGCAAACAAAAAATGGGTTGCACTTCAACCTATCGTTGCAGACATCGGAGAAGACTTCGCAGTTTGCTCTTATGGTCACGACATCTTCATAACCGGCGGGACAACAAATATGACCAGTTGTATAAGATATTCTGCAAAATTGTCGCAGTGGCGGGAACGATCTACCATGCAGTGTGGTCGATACAGACATTCAATGGTGGCAATGTCGGACTCGTTGTTTGTGTTTGGTGGCTACAACTTTGGAACCTTAAACAGCGTCGAACAATATGACATGGGAACTGAAGCATGGAAACAAGTTGGGGAACTACATTTTGGTGTTGACAGAAGCTCTGCAGCGGTGATAGGCGAAAAGGTCTACATCTTTGGAGGCAGTCTCGGCTTTACCGAGGAAACCGCGGGAATACAGTGCTTTAACACCAAGACTTTCACGTGCTCATTGATTGCTAACCTTCCCAGACCCCCTAAATTCAGCAGTGCTATAAAATTTGCTGACATAATATATGTCGTATGTGATAATGGAGAGGTGATATCCTTCAGTGCTAATGAAGGGCATCGTGTAATCCACAGACTCAAGAGCTTCTCGAGGAAGAACTTCGGTCTCTTCATCGATAAAGGAACACCATGCATCGTTGGAGGGAACCAGAACGTGTTTTCTGACGAAGATAAGCTTTGTTCTGATGTGATCAAGATCGCAGAAGAGCCCAGCACGCATAATAGCCTTGAACTCCCATTTCAAATGGAGGTCATCAACTGTGTGCGTACTGTTGTTGCGAGAAAGTATCCACTTTTGGAGTGCGAGTCCTTAATACGAGAATTTGTGGACGTGGACTGATCTATACGAAAATTTGTATTACAAAACAGTGCAAAGAAATGATAAAATTGTTGGTACAAAGTTCCAGCAACAAGTGACGTTTATCTTCAGTAGTGTATACGAGTTAGATGAACATAATATTTATTTATTTATTTATTTGTGTACAGTACTGGTGTGATCCCTTTAAGTTCAAGTTTTTAAGGTAAATGTTTTAAAACGCTACTTTTAATTCAATCCAGACACCTCACATATGGATGGTTTAATACCCCTCCCCCTTCCGAGAATATTTTTATGAGACACGAAATACATGAATTCCCAGCCTTTTATATCTATATTTCCGATATCTAATGCATTTTCCAGTACTAGTATCTTTATCTACCAGAGGGAGTCAATCTAAAAATTAACAAAAGCGGAAAATAAATTCGACAACAATGATATCAGATAGGGAATATAGGCATAAAAGGCTAGGAATCCATGCATTTTAAATGTGATCGTGTCTGTAATAAAAATTCTCAGGAAAAAGGGGGGGGGGGGTTACACCATCCATACGTCAGACGCCCGTAATTCAATACACATGTATATATTAATAGTTCTTTTATGTTTTTATTCCATATGATAAATTATTTATTAAATAATTATATTCTAAATTTGTTGTTTTAATATTTCCAACAGTATCTGTAGTGCCTCGTAATATTTTTTAAAGTTCACTTGGTAATTTCCAACTTTAAAGTTGGTAATTCCAACTTTAATCTTGGCTTTTCCAGCTTTAAAATTTTTCATAAAGTTTTGTTGTTAAGTTAACATTAACGTCCATTTCTAGCAAAATATTCAAGTTCCAAAATAGGTGTGTCAGACTCTGTGGTATCTTTTATTTCAAGTTCACTGGGATATATCGAGTTGACATATGAATGGAAATAACTATTGTTAATTGGTAATACGTCGTCGATATATCTAAATGTCGAGTTGAAGGTCACAGCAAGTGTTTTGTTTTGTTCTTCTCATGTACAAGTTTTTGAATAAAATTCTGCTTCATATGAATACAATAAATAAGTCTGCTAATAACGTGGCGCAATTGGTACCCATGGAAATTCCGACAGATTGTTGGAAGACCTGATCTCCAAAAACTATATAGATATTGTCAATTAGAAAGAATTTGATTCATCGAGAAACATTTGTTAAAAAACACTGTTACCATCTGAATGATAAAACCACGCCCTCCAGCGTGATAGAACTTAGTAACATTCAACATTGCTTGACGACGGGTAATATTCAAAAAAAAAAAAAATTGACTGCGCGGAATCTATGCGCACGCGCTTCACTTTTGTTTGAATAAAACATTCAGTATAATAGATACTAGTAGTATATGTAGTACTGTTGAGGGTAACATTGAAAATTTTCACCCGAAGAAAACCATTGTCTAACCGAGGCTGCACCTCAGTTTGACAATGGATAATGCGCCTCAGTTTGACAATGGTTTTCTTGGGGTGAAAATTTTCAGTGATATATATATATATATATATATATATATATATATATATATAGGAAGCAATTTTTTTAATGGGGGGGGGGGGGAACAACCATTCATTTTTAGTTCGGGGGGGGGGGGCGCTATCAACTATCCAAAATTCATTGATAAGCAAAAAAAAAAAAAAAAAAAAAAAAAAGGTCATCAGACGTTTTCATTGAGGGGGCACAAGCACATAGTAGCTATGTTTTCCATAGTAATCCATATATCCGCAAAATTATTACGGGGGCACGCCGCCCCCCCCCTCCCCCCCGTTTCCTACGGCCATGTCATAGAAGGGACAAGTTAACAGCTTTTGCTGAAGAATCTGAAGAATCTTTGACTTCTGTATTACTCTTGAAAGCATTATAATTTATGCAGTATTGTTGACGTGCTTTATTTTTGCAGACTATTCTAAAATCTGCGATAGAAAAGACAACAATAAACTAAATATGAGACCCCCCCCCCCCCCCCCCCGCTATTGTTAAACAAAAATGATGAGCTTAGTGCATGAAGTAATTTTAAATAAAATAAATTTCATCGTCACATAAAATAAACCATACATTAATCAGAAAGTAAAAGCAATGTCAATTCTTGGACTTTCGCCTTCCACCAGGATTTCTCGCCGTTCTGGAGTTTGCAGCTGATGGGATGAGAGATTTTAAGCTTTCACCAAGATTTCTCGCCGTTTTGGAGTTCTTTTGCTGAGAGATCTTTTTCTGTAAATGAATGATTTTAAGCGTTTTCCAACTGGTAATAAGATCAGTAGTAGACCGGAAAAGGAGAAAAAGCTTCCCCCGACCAGGAAGGTGTGGTCATAGGAACCCGACAGGTCATAAAGTAAACCTGTGAACACGAAAATATTTCTACATACTAGTTCTTCGAAGAAAAAAGCATATAATAATTGTCATTTTTAAGGGAACAACTTCTAATTAACTTCTAATTAAGCAGACTCTCGGCTGAGGACAATTTAACGTATATTCGAAATCTGTTTGTTTATTTGATGAAATTTATTACAAAGTACTGATAATATATAGAGTATTTTTCAATTCTTTAATAAGCAAATAAATTAATTGATGTATTTTGCTTTGCCATACCTAGAGATGAATTACACGGAAAACAATTAAATGATATTTCTTAACTGAAAAATGTTTTAAGCACTTCATCATAACTGCGTCATAAGGGCCTACATGTACTGGGTATTTGTTTGTTTGTTTGTTTGTTTTTTAATAAAAAAAAGACCATTAAAACAGCAAATTCTTTTTATAAATCTCTTTAACTTAATAGAGATGAAAACAAAAATAAGAGGAACAATTACCAGCTACAGGAGGTCCTATGATATTGGCTAATCCCTGCATCATCATGGTTAGTCCATAGGAATTGGTCAGCTTATCAATCCCAACAATTTCCACCAGAATCACGGTATCCAGTGCATAGCTGGCGCTAACAAAGAACCCAAACAGGCTCGCAATAATGCAAAGTGGTACAAAAGACAGGAACCACGGAACAATCATTACACACAATCCTGAGAGCATGATCGACACTCCATAGAGCAAGGTCAGGTCTATGTTTCTGTCACCTATAAATCCATATACAATCTGTCCAAAGGTATTCACAATTCCAAGGATTGAAATAATGAAGGCCGGATCTTCTATCCCCCCTTCTATAGCAATATCATTCAGAAATACATATGGTACATCGTACCAGAAGTACGATATGAAGTTGGAAATCAGAAACATAAGAAAGAATGGGTTTTTCATGATTTTGAAATCAAACATCAACTTGAACATTTTCTTGATGTGTTTGGATAATCTCAGGAGTCTTGGTATAGAAGAATCATTGTCATCGTCTTCATCATCGCTTTCATCTAACACCTCTGGGTGTATTGCTGGACAGCTCTTTGGTCGGTTCTTTGGAGTGACTGTAAATCTTTTAAGACTTCTTCTGTAAAATAAGTCTTTTCTGAACAGAGGATAATACTGTATAATTGTTCGTCGATTTAGGGTCTTCCTCCGTACAAGAGATTTTTTCTTGCTTCTCTTTCTTACTATGTCATCTTTTACAAGTCTGTCTTTCTCGTGACAGGCATTTTGATCATCGTTTGCAACTACATTTATCATTTCCTGGCCCGGAAGTCTGTCTTTATTAGGTGCACAGGTATTTCCTGTGGTGTGAACGTTGATTGTATCCATGCTTTGAAAATATTTCTTCAAGATGTGCTGCGAATTCTTACCATTTCTTCGTACAACACATAACATGTCAAGTGGAATATTCTTGGATTTATTTGTAAAAGTAGGCAATTGAACCATTGAATGACAACGCTGTCTTTTCTCAGCTAAGCATTTGTTATCATTGTGATAATCTAAGTTCAGCATATCCGAACTGTTAGCGAGGCAATTTCGATTGTGCAGTTTAGATTCCGATATTGTTTTCGCCATATTTTCAAATTTTTCTAAATTTCTTTTCCATTCTTCCAAAGGAGTAAATTCCAAAGGTCTCATCAGTGCTCCACAAACGACTAAATTCAATGTGATGGCACTGAGAATAACAAAGGTACCTCTCCATCCATACTCTTCAATGAGGAATTCCAAAAGTGGAGCAAACACAAAGGTACCGATACCAGATCCACAAACAGACAACCCGGACGCCAGAGATCGCTTCTTTTCAAAATAGTACGCCACAAGGACTGCAGACGTAATATACCCAATAGAGAGCCCGAATCCTGCGACAAAACCAAGGGTAAAACAGATAAGGCCAATGGAATCCACAAAGGCACTAGCCAAGACTCCAACACTTGTGATCAATCCTCCAAGAATCTGCGCTTTTCTGCATCCTAATTTAGTTACAATGGCACTGGCTATAGGTCCACAAATCATGGGGATTCCATAGAATAGGGATGCAATTATAGATGTTACACTTTTACTCTGCTTGAAAACATCTGACAACTCTGTAAAGAGTACACCAAATGATAGGGAAAATCCTTCGCTAATAAGCATTACAAAGAAAGAACTAATAACAATCACCCAGCCATAGCCACCGTCTGGGGCCGGGGGCAGCGAAATAGAAGGGTCAAATAATGAGGGAATTCCATCAGGCGGGGCAGTGATAAGAGATGACGCGCTGTATCCGGATTCAGCGTCCTTTCTTAATGCCTGATCCTGCTTCTCTTTAAGCATTTCTTTCTTCAAAGGCTTTCGGCTTGTAGGTTAAAAAGGGTTCGCTGATGAAAAAATACAAGATATGCTGTTTAATCATTGTTCAATGCAGCTGAAGGGAATGGAAACCCTATCTCCATAAATGGACATTCTTGTGTTTCCATTATCGGAATACTCTGCAAACATAAGAAAAATACTTAAATGCAAATGGTCACAGATTTCGATGTTAAGAAATTCCAATCTCCAAACTTAACTATACATTAAATAAACTGACCAAAACATGTACCAATGAAGATCAGAAGATTTTCCATGTTAATAACGTCTCTACTAAGATCTGTAAAATCAGAAATATTCTCATCCACTTTGGGTACTTGTATTTTTTATGACCATGGGGGTTTAGGAATGGTCTTTAGCTTCATATTTTAGATCACTTAACATAATCACCTCTAGCTTCGACATCCATGTCCATCTTCAAGAGTAATTCATGTTAACTCTCTTCAAGACACTCAATTGTAAAATGCCGACCAATTGTTTAAATATTTACTAAAAAAATTTTCCATGAAGCTATACATTTACAATGTATATGCTGTACATAAAAACAAGTATTAAAAAGGCTTTAATTTGCTTTTGCTTCACTATCTAGACAACAGGAAAATGAAAACATCAGCTTCAACATTTCCTGTTGTTTGTTGGATATCTCTGCAAGTAGGAAAAAAACAGTCAAGGATGTACGTGGATCAACGCCACCCGTCACCATGCTCCAAGTTAGCTTTAATTTCGAAACAAAGGAGCAAAGACGTGCAACTGCATGGAAATTACCATATTATCTAATCATAACGTCATACATCATGTGTTTATGGAAAAAGGGAATTTTGACGAGCTCACTGTGTCAATCTTTCGAAGATTTAGTTCTTCAATATACTCTAAATTCGAAGCCATTGTGGTTAAGTTAGGACTTATGTTTGTGGAGGGGGTGGGAGGTCCACACCGGCTTATAAAAAATTCTGACTCCGATACTTCTTTTGTACCCCAAAGTTTTGTGTTCATTTTTTTCCACAAAATGTGGAAATAGAATGGACACAAAACCAGTGGCTTGCGACGATATTTGTGGGTGTGATCGTATTTACTATTAATTTTATTGTAACCCCTCTCCCCTCCCCCAAGGGAAAATTCTAGAATTTGCCGTTAGGAAAAATAGTATTGGATAACTATTACAAGTAGATAGCTAATAAAATTTCATTTAAACTTACTTTCTGTTGAACGGGGGAGGGGCAATTTCCCTATTCAGGACCCAAGGTAAATTTCAAAATTATGTAAAGAAATTTACTTTTTTTTCGTCAGGAATACCTTTCTTTAACATTCAAGAAAAGCACATTTGCTCAAAAGGTTGACCTTTGGATAAGAAGTTTGCCTCTCCAGAGAATAAAATAAGACATTTATTTAGCAGTGCTTAGGCTCTATAAAGTGCTCACATTCAAGATCACGTGGCTTATGCCTTTTTTGCATCTTGGATTGTTTGGACATTTTTTTATATGCAGGTTTTTCCAGCAATTATGTATGCAATTAGGGGCAGGGTTCGACACTAACCTTAGTCCGTTAGTCTCAGACTAATACATTTTCATTCGGACTAATAAAATATGTGGCTAATTAGTCCGAACGGACCAATAAAAATTTCTGAAAAACAATATGAATAAATTACCGATGTCCGATTCTCGACAACTTTTACTGGAAAACCCCGCGTGTATTTTTAGATTTCTAGCTTTTGGCGGGTAGTTACGCAATGCAGCGCTTAATTTTTCGACTGATCGATATGAAGTATAAGGTTTTAGCGATCATGATTTAGTATGACACTTTTAAGAAAGATGTTGGACGTTTTGGATGTAATGGAAAGACATAAAAAAAAAAAAAACGAGATCGGGAATACGATCGCATACTTGCTGATTGCGAGATTTCAATGAATCTGTGGAATATATTTCACGTAAATACTTTGTTTATTTCAAAAAATAATACGTATATTAATTGTCACGTTAAATTAATGTTAAAAACATTGATGTTTCTTTCTTTCTTTCTTTTTTTTTTTTTTTTTTTTTTTTTTTTTTGACGGACTAATAAAATCGCGTGCGGACTAGTAAACGTAATGAAGCACTAGTCCGGCTGGACTAAAGCCTTAAAAAGTTAGTGTCGAACCCTGTAGGGGTACGTTTGTTAGAGGGATGTCTTTAATGATACTGAAATATTTTAGACCACCACAAGTGCATGTCCAAGGAAGGAAGTTTTCCGCCTGCAAATCATAATTCCTGTCATTTTACGAGTAACATATTTTTTCATACTTGTCCTCACTTGTAAATCTCTGCTTTAGTTCATCAATTTCATCACTTTATCATCATCAATTGGTAGAGGAAAAGCCTTGGCCCTTATTTTACAAATTTCCTCGTTTGGGTTAGATGAAACCGCAGAAGTGTTCATGTGGTAAATTCTAACAATAGGATATATGAATTTCAAAAACTTCATGTAAAAGTTTTATGCAACTTTCTGTAAAGTTTGACCTTGGATCCATCACAAAATTATATATTTAAAAAAAATTCGTTTTGTTCATTTTTTTTTTTTTAAAAATCTAATGAGCATTTGATGTCTGTGAAAAAAAAATTCTGGTCTCGAAGACAACTTCCTTGCTGGAAGAGCTCCCAAGTAGCCAGGTGGATTGTCTTCTAAAACCTCCTCATACTTGATATATGGAAGACTCTCCAGTGGCGGATCCAGGAATTTCATAATGGAGGGGTGCAGTAGAAAACGGGGGGTCTGCATTGAAGCCCCCCGTGGGTCTAGGGCAAAGCCCTGGTGGGGGTCCGGGGGCGAAGCCCCCGAAAGCTGACGAATTCTTACAAATAAGAGATGTGTTTTTCTTGATTTTAGGATAATGGACATATGAGTTCTAAATACAAAAAATTCAAATGGGGGGGGGGGGGCATGCGCCAGGCGCGCTGGCCCTGGATCAGCCTTTACTCTCACTCAAAATTCAGAGAAATATTTGTGAAACATACTATCTGTAAAGAACTGGAAATCAGTTGTATAATATCCAGCATAGTTTTCAGCATTGCTTGCTTTAAAATGTGACATTTTATTCAAAATACACTCCGTGAAATACATGTACACATTTATACATAAAATTCACACAAAGGAACATAAAAAAAATATTCTTATGAATTCAATTCATTAAAATAAAGAAAATTGTTTTCATTGATTAAATTCTGTTTACAGAAAACGAAATGAATAGACCTATATCACCTGATACAACCCTTAATTACACTGGGTCTAACTCCTAAACTTCTTCTTTGTTGAGCAGAACTGTTGAATTTATCAGCTTGTTGAAACACAGGAGTGAATGGTTTAGAGAGACCAGAGAGATTGTACCTGGAAACAAAACTCTGTCGTCTGCTTGTGGACCCTGAACTCTGGACGGAGGGCTCCCACTGAAAGAAGCCACACCCATTTCTGTCTGTTGTCTTCACCCCCGCACAAGAAAAGAAAAATCGACCAAGGTTTGGTCCTGGGGATTGCACCATTCTCCTCTTTGACCGACGTCCACATTTACACAGGGGTGGTGTTGCTTTCATTGTTGATGACATACTGGTGTCCGGGGTCTTAAGAATTGAATTGCTTGAGTTTATAGTAGAATTGGTAACATTTAAAGCAGATTTTTGACATAGTGAAAACTGAAAACTTGGACTAGGAACCTTAAATTGTCCACCATGTTCTACACTTGAAACTTGGGAATTGACACAAATTTTTCCACTTTTATCTGTGTTACTTTTGTTTGAGTCTTTAATAGAATTTTTATTTGGTTCACTTGCTTTACTCATATTGCCATTTCTATTAGATAAGCCACTGCCGGCTTTCATTTGCACACTGAACGACTCAACAGATCTGCAGTTACCATCCATGTAAATCTGCTTCATTGAAAATCCTTTGGAGACAATATGCCTGGTTGGAGTTTCTCTCTGTGTGGCATTTTTCACCTTTGAATCAGCAGACATGGATTCTCTGCTCCTTTTCAATAGCCTTGGAGATTTTCTGACAGGGGAGGTAACATGAGTCGGGGTTTTCTTTAAATGTCTGGGTGATCTTCTAAGCACTGGCTTTAAGAAGCTGTGGGAGTTTTTGTCTGGTGTGGCCATCATAACTTCCTCTTCTTTACCCATGTCAGACATTCTCCTACGCTTTGGTAATGGGCTCCTGGTTGGACTTAATGGTTTCTTCGAGTTCAACAGATTCTCAACTGTGATCGGACTCGTGGATTTACTCTAATAAAAACAAGAGGAACTTTATTTGAAACACATCTTTATTGACAACATATACATGCATAGCATAAAGGTTAAAAAGACATACACTGTCTGCTGATATTTAACCAGTAAAATAAGGATGTAAAAAGGGATCACGCTAATATACTTAAGTAAAGAACTCCTTTCAGATTTTCTTTTCTATTTTTGAGAGATGATTTTTACTATTTTACTTTTTAATACATGTATGTAAAAAAAAAAAATTGGTCCCTTTCTGTTGTGACATCCTGTAAGCTTTCACCAAGATTTCTCGCCGTTTTGGAGTTCTTTTGCTGAGAGATCTTTTTCTGTAAATGAATGATTTTAAGCGTTTTCCAACTGGTAATAAGATCAGTAGTAGACCGGAAAAGGAGAAAAAGCTTCCCCCGACCAGGAAGGTGTGGTCATAGGAACCCGACAGGTCATAAAGTAAACCTGTGAACACGAAAATATTTCTACATACTAGTTCTTCGAAGAAAAAAGCATATAATAATTGTCATTTTTAAGGGAACAACTTCTAATTAACTTCTAATTAAGCAGACTCTCGGCTGAGGACAATTTAACGTATATTCGAAATCTGTTTGTTTATTTGATGAAATTTATTACAAAGTACTGATAATATATAGAGTATTTTTCAATTCTTTAATAAGCAAATAAATTAATTGATGTATTTTGCTTTGCCATACCTAGAGATGAATTACACGGAAAACAATTAAATGATATTTCTTAACTGAAAAATGTTTTAAGCACTTCATCATAACTGCGTCATAAGGGCCTACATGTACTGGGTATTTGTTTGTTTGTTTGTTTGTTTTTTAATAAAAAAAAGACCATTAAAACAGCAAATTCTTTTTATAAATCTCTTTAACTTAATAGAGATGAAAACAAAAATAAGAGGAACAATTACCAGCTACAGGAGGTCCTATGATATTGGCTAATCCCTGCATCATCATGGTTATTCCATAGGAATTGGTCAGCTTATCAATCCCAACAATTTCCACCAGAATCACGGTATCCAGTGCATAGCTGGCGCTAACAAAGAACCCAAACAGGCTCGCAATAATGCAAAGTGGTACAAAAGACAGGAACCACGGAACAATCATTACACACAATCCTGAGAGCATGATCGACACTCCATAGAGCAAGGTCAGGTCTATGTTTCTGTCACCTATAAATCCATATACAATCTGTCCAAAGGTATTCACAATTCCAAGGATTGAAATAATGAAGGCCGGATCTTCTATCCCCCCTTCTATAGCAATATCATTCAGAAATACATATGGTACATCGTACCAGAAGTACGATATGAAGTTGGAAATCAGAAACATAAGAAAGAATGGGTTTTTCATGATTTTGAAATCAAACATCAACTTGAACATTTTCTTGATGTGTTTGGATAATCTCAGGAGTCTTGGTATAGAAGAATCATTGTCATCGTCTTCATCATCGCTTTCATCTAACACCTCTGGGTGTATTGCTGGACAGCTCTTTGGTCGGTTCTTTGGAGTGACTGTAAATCTTTTAAGACTTCTTCTGTAAAATAAGTCTTTTCTGAACAGAGGATAATACTGTATAATTGTTCGTCGATTTAGGGTCTTCCTCCGTACAAGAGATTTTTTCTTGCTTCTCTTTCTTACTATGTCATCTTTTACAAGTCTGTCTTTCTCGTGACAGGCATTTTGATCATCGTTTGCAACTACATTTATCATTTCCTGGCCCGGAAGTCTGTCTTTATTAGGTGCACAGGTATTTCCTGTGGTGTGAACGTTGATTGTATCCATGCTTTGAAAATATTTCTTCAAGATGTGCTGCGAATTCTTACCATTTCTTCGTACAACACATAACATGTCAAGTGGAATATTCTTGGATTTATTTGTAAAAGTAGGCAATTGAACCATTGAATGACAACGCTGTCTTTTCTCAGCTAAGCATTTGTTATCATTGTGATAATCTAAGTTCAGCATATCCGAACTGTTAGCGAGGCAATTTCGATTGTGCAGTTTAGATTCCGATATTGTTTTCGCCATATTTTCAAATTTTTCTAAATTTCTTTTCCATTCTTCCAAAGGAGTAAATTCCAAAGGTCTCATCAGTGCTCCACAAACGACTAAATTCAATGTGATGGCACTGAGAATAACAAAGGTACCTCTCCATCCATACTCTTCAATGAGGAATTCCAAAAGTGGAGCAAACACAAAGGTACCGATACCAGATCCACAAACAGACAACCCGGACGCCAGAGATCGCTTCTTTTCAAAATAGTACGCCACAAGGACTGCAGACGTAATATACCCAATAGAGAGCCCGAATCCTGCGACAAAACCAAGGGTAAAACAGATAAGGCCAATGGAATCCACAAAGGCACTAGCCAAGACTCCAACACTTGTGATCAATCCTCCAAGAATCTGCGCTTTTCTGCATCCTAATTTAGTTACAATGGCACTGGCTATAGGTCCACAAATCATGGGGATTCCATAGAATAGGGATGCAATTATAGATGTTACACTTTTACTCTGCTTGAAAACATCTGACAACTCTGTAAAGAGTACACCAAATGATAGGGAAAATCCTTCGCTAATAAGCATTACAAAGAAAGAACTAATAACAATCACCCAGCCATAGCCACCGTCTGGGGCCGGGGGCAGCGAAATAGAAGGGTCAAATAATGAGGGAATTCCATCAGGCGGGGCAGTGATAAGAGATGACGCGCTGTATCCGGATTCAGCGTCCTTTCTTAATGCCTGATCCTGCTTCTCTTTAAGCATTTCTTTCTTCAAAGGCTTTCGGCTTGTAGGTTAAAAAGGGTTCGCTGATGAAAAAATACAAGATATGCTGTTTAATCATTGTTCAATGCAGCTGAAGGGAATGGAAACCCTATCTCCATAAATGGACATTCTTGTGTTTCCATTATCGGAATACTCTGCAAACATAAGAAAAATACTTAAATGCAAATGGTCACAGATTTCGATGTTAAGAAATTCCAATCTCCAAACTTAACTATACATTAAATAAACTGACCAAAACATGTACCAATGAAGATCAGAAGATTTTCCATGTTAATAACGTCTCTACTAAGATCTGTAAAATCAGAAATATTCTCATCCACTTTGGGTACTTGTATTTTTTATGACCATGGGGGTTTAGGAATGGTCTTTAGCTTCATATTTTAGATCACTTAACATAATCACCTCTAGCTTCGACATCCATGTCCATCTTCAAGAGTAATTCATGTTAACTCTCTTCAAGACACTCAATTGTAAAATGCCGACCAATTGTTTAAATATTTACTAAAAAAATTTTCCATGAAGCTATACATTTACAATGTATATGCTGTACATAAAAACAAGTATTAAAAAGGCTTTAATTTGCTTTTGCTTCACTATCTAGACAACAGGAAAATGAAAACATCAGCTTCAACATTTCCTGTTGTTTGTTGGATATCTCTGCAAGTAGGAAAAAAACAGTCAAGGATGTACGTGGATCAACGCCACCCGTCACCATGCTCCAAGTTAGCTTTAATTTCGAAACAAAGGAGCAAAGACGTGCAACTGCATGGAAATTACCATATTATCTAATCATAACGTCATACATCATGTGTTTATGGAAAAAGGGAATTTTGACGAGCTCACTGTGTCAATCTTTCGAAGATTTAGTTCTTCAATATACTCTAAATTCGAAGCCATTGTGGTTAAGTTAGGACTTATGTTTGTGGAGGGGGTGGGAGGTCCACACCGGCTTATAAAAAATTCTGACTCCGATACTTCTTTTGTACCCCAAAGTTTTGTGTTCATTTTTTTCCACAAAATGTGGAAATAGAATGGACACAAAACCAGTGGCTTGCGACGATATTTGTGGGTGTGATCGTATTTACTATTAATTTTATTGTAACCCCTCTCCCCTCCCCCAAGGGAAAATTCTAGAATTTGCCGTTAGGAAAAATAGTATTGGATAACTATTACAAGTAGATAGCTAATAAAATTTCATTTAAACTTACTTTCTGTTGAACGGGGGAGGGGCAATTTCCCTATTCAGGACCCAAGGTAAATTTCAAAATTATGTAAAGAAATTTACTTTTTTTTCGTCAGGAATACCTTTCTTTAACATTCAAGAAAAGCACATTTGCTCAAAAGGTTGACCTTTGGATAAGAAGTTTGCCTCTCCAGAGAATAAAATAAGACATTTATTTAGCAGTGCTTAGGCTCTATAAAGTGCTCACATTCAAGATCACGTGGCTTATGCCTTTTTTGCATCTTGGATTGTTTGGACATTTTTTTATATGCAGGTTTTTCCAGCAATTATGTATGCAATTAGGGGCAGGGTTCGACACTAACCTTAGTCCGTTAGTCTCAGACTAATACATTTTCATTCGGACTAATAAAATATGTGGCTAATTAGTCCGAACGGACCAATAAAAATTTCTGAAAAACAATATGAATAAATTACCGATGTCCGATTCTCGACAACTTTTACTGGAAAACCCCGCGTGTATTTTTAGATTTCTAGCTTTTGGCGGGTAGTTACGCAATGCAGCGCTTAATTTTTCGACTGATCGATATGAAGTATAAGGTTTTAGCGATCATGATTTAGTATGACACTTTTAAGAAAGATGTTGGACGTTTTGGATGTAATGGAAAGACATAAAAAAAAAAAAAACGAGATCGGGAATACGATCGCATACTTGCTGATTGCGAGATTTCAATGAATCTGTGGAATATATTTCACGTAAATACTTTGTTTATTTCAAAAAATAATACGTATATTAATTGTCACGTTAAATTAATGTTAAAAACATTGATGTTTCTTTCTTTCTTTCTTTTTTTTTTTTTTTTTTTTTTTTTTTTTTGACGGACTAATAAAATCGCGTGCGGACTAGTAAACGTAATGAAGCACTAGTCCGGCTGGACTAAAGCCTTAAAAAGTTAGTGTCGAACCCTGTAGGGGTACGTTTGTTAGAGGGATGTCTTTAATGATACTGAAATATTTTAGACCACCACAAGTGCATGTCCAAGGAAGGAAGTTTTCCGCCTGCAAATCATAATTCCTGTCATTTTACGAGTAACATATTTTTTCATACTTGTCCTCACTTGTAAATCTCTGCTTTAGTTCATCAATTTCATCACTTTATCATCATCAATTGGTAGAGGAAAAGCCTTGGCCCTTATTTTACAAATTTCCTCGTTTGGGTTAGATGAAACCGCAGAAGTGTTCATGTGGTAAATTCTAACAATAGGATATATGAATTTCAAAAACTTCATGTAAAAGTTTTATGCAACTTTCTGTAAAGTTTGACCTTGGATCCATCACAAAATTATATATTTAAAAAAAATTCGTTTTGTTCATTTTTTTTTTTTTAAAAATCTAATGAGCATTTGATGTCTGTGAAAAAAAAATTCTGGTCTCGAAGACAACTTCCTTGCTGGAAGAGCTCCCAAGTAGCCAGGTGGATTGTCTTCTAAAACCTCCTCATACTTGATATATGGAAGACTCTCCAGTGGCGGATCCAGGAATTTCATAATGGAGGGGTGCAGTAGAAAACGGGGGGTCTGCATTGAAGCCCCCCGTGGGTCTAGGGCAAAGCCCTGGTGGGGGTCCGGGGGCGAAGCCCCCGAAAGCTGACGAATTCTTACAAATAAGAGATGTGTTTTTCTTGATTTTAGGATAATGGACATATGAGTTCTAAATACAAAAAATTCAAATGGGGGGGGGGGGGGGGGGGGCATGCGCCAGGCGCGCTGGCCCTGGATCAGCCTTTACTCTCACTCAAAATTCAGAGAAATATTTGTGAAACATACTATCTGTAAAGAACTGGAAATCAGTTGTATAATATCCAGCATAGTTTTCAGCATTGCTTGCTTTAAAATGTGACATTTTATTCAAAATACACTCCGTGAAATACATGTACACATTTATACATAAAATTCACACAAAGGAACATAAAAAAAATATTCTTATGAATTCAATTCATTAAAATAAAGAAAATTGTTTTCATTGATTAAATTCTGTTTACAGAAAACGAAATGAATAGACCTATATCACCTGATACAACCCTTAATTACACTGGGTCTAACTCCTAAACTTCTTCTTTGTTGAGCAGAACTGTTGAATTTATCAGCTTGTTGAAACACAGGAGTGAATGGTTTAGAGAGACCAGAGAGATTGTACCTGGAAACAAAACTCTGTCGTCTGCTTGTGGACCCTGAACTCTGGACGGAGGGCTCCCACTGAAAGAAGCCACACCCATTTCTGTCTGTTGTCTTCACCCCCGCACAAGAAAAGAAAAATCGACCAAGGTTTGGTCCTGGGGATTGCACCATTCTCCTCTTTGACCGACGTCCACATTTACACAGGGGTGGTGTTGCTTTCATTGTTGATGACATACTGGTGTCCGGGGTCTTAAGAATTGAATTGCTTGAGTTTATAGTAGAATTGGTAACATTTAAAGCAGATTTTTGACATAGTGAAAACTGAAAACTTGGACTAGGAACCTTAAATTGTCCACCATGTTCTACACTTGAAACTTGGGAATTGACACAAATTTTTCCACTTTTATCTGTGTTACTTTTGTTTGAGTCTTTAATAGAATTTTTATTTGGTTCACTTGCTTTACTCATATTGCCATTTCTATTAGATAAGCCACTGCCGGCTTTCATTTGCACACTGAACGACTCAACAGATCTGCAGTTACCATCCATGTAAATCTGCTTCATTGAAAATCCTTTGGAGACAATATGCCTGGTTGGAGTTTCTCTCTGTGTGGCATTTTTCACCTTTGAATCAGCAGACATGGATTCTCTGCTCCTTTTCAATAGCCTTGGAGATTTTCTGACAGGGGAGGTAACATGAGTCGGGGTTTTCTTTAAATGTCTGGGTGATCTTCTAAGCACTGGCTTTAAGAAGCTGTGGGAGTTTTTGTCTGGTGTGGCCATCATAACTTCCTCTTCTTTACCCATGTCAGACATTCTCCTACGCTTTGGTAATGGGCTCCTGGTTGGACTTAATGGTTTCTTCGAGTTCAACAGATTCTCAACTGTGATCGGACTCGTGGATTTACTCTAATAAAAACAAGAGGAACTTTATTTGAAACACATCTTTATTGACAACATATACATGCATAGCATAAAGGTTAAAAAGACATACACTGTCTGCTGATATTTAACCAGTAAAATAAGGATGTAAAAAGGGATCACGCTAATATACTTAAGTAAAGAACTCCTTTCAGATTTTCTTTTCTATTTTTGAGAGATGATTTTTACTATTTTACTTTTTAATACATGTATGTAAAAAAAAAAAATTGGTCCCTTTCTGTTGTGACATCCTGTTTCCTGAGACCATGGTTTGAACAAATCTAAATCTTGAATAGACATATACATGAAATCTTTCAATTTTTATATTTTTAAGTTAAACAGTGTTTGAGAAGCTTTGTAAATGATCACACCCAAGGTATACAAATTTCTTCATTACCTCCCTTTGTAAAGAGGGTAATAGCCCTTCATTTCTATAAACCTGAATTCTCATCACTAATGAATATGTTTGTGGCAAGTTTCGTTGAAATTGGCCTAGCCTGCCTGAGTGACTCAAGTGACCCAAGAACATTATTTATTTAGCAAAAAAAACAGGTGACCTAAAAAAGCTATTACGAAAAAATTATCTTAAAATCTGTCTGTTACGGTGCATCACAGTCTTTGTTTGCTATCTATTGTTATTTAAGAAGACAACTGAGGTTTTTACCCCTCTAGTCAGAGTCTTTGTAATCTTCATGACACAACCATCACACATCATCCTGTAGGCCAAGGTAGCTGTGTTCCTGGCATCAACAATACCTACACAATAAAATAAATCCTTTCAAGCTTTGTTTTGAATTAATGTCACAAATGATAATTCAGGTTGTCAGAAGATAATAATTTCACTGTTTTTTATTTTCTTTCTTAATAAATCCAGTCACACTTCATAATGCCTTTTAAGTTTCTTATTTAAGATCAACAACGTATCAATGGTATGCTTTTTATACAGTAAACTTACCGGAGTGCTCCCTGCCCTCAAACTCAATCCCCAGGTCCTGCAGAGCGCCATTTAATCCATTGGGTTTTCTGCTATAGAATTTCTGAAGTACAAATATGAAATATTTCATCATTTCACAAAATAAACATTCACTATCTATTCATCCAAAGATCCACTGAGCATTACACAATACTTATTGCAAACAGTTGAATTCATTCAAAGATTGCACTGTTTGTATAAAGATCTCTTTCAAATTGCACTAATTCTTTTTTCTCACGATGTTCATTGAATGGAACAAATATATGACACTTCTATGATTTCTACACTGAATGTACAAAACTGTCTAGGGGTGAGGGTGGGGGGCTGTCAAATAATTGTGATAAATTCATTTTTATCATGTAGAAGGATGACCTGACATTTGAACACATCTTACCCTGTAGGTGGCTCTTAAATCAATCCAGTTATTTAACTGTGATGGTTTTATTAGCTGTTTTCTTTTGCATTCATTTAAAAGACAAGTTCCAAGGTCCCAATCTGCAAATATGCAAGATAATGTAATTAGAAAATTTGAACTTATACAAATTGTGTTCAGTAGAAAAAAAAAGTGACAAAGTCATGACTTGTTAAAATCGCAATATAATTTTTTTTTGAAGGTCTACATTTCAGACTCAGGGGAGCTATAAATAACAACTGTGAAGAATACTTTGATGTAGAAGGAGTAATCAATATGTTAGGAACACAAGTTTTTTGAGATGGCAGTTTAAAAATACAGAGATATAATCCTTTAATTGTAAGCACTTTTTGTGTGCAATAGATATGAACTTTTTGAATGCATGGAACTGGAGCTCTTTGGTTGTCCATCCCAATTCTTTCAGAGTAGTAAGCTTTAGATCTTCAGCTACATAAAGGTGCAGTACCACTTAATTAATAAATTATTTTCAGAACATTCATTATGGCCTTATATCAATGAAATGTTTTCTTTACAAAGCTTATTCTTTTTACTCTCCATAATGGAATGCTGTTATTTCATAGATAAGCTTGTTCCATACCAGACCATGTAACAAAGGTTGTGTATGCAGCATCCCCCAAGTCATCTGATGGAGGACCAAATATAAGGCCTTTTTCCTTCTGCAGTCTGTCCAGCCAATGAGAGAACTTCCTCAAACAAATACGGAGAGGGATTCCATTGTCTACTTGTTCCTGGGGAAATTCATATATCAGTTATAATGATAAATTGGTAGAATAGTAAGGTATACAACCAAATTATTTTTACAATAGAATTTGTTGGTAAATATAGCCTAAAAGCAAAAACTTTTAAAGTGAGTTATGCTTAATACATGTACGTTGTGCAGTGATTTCATCAAAAGTAGCATCATTGCTGTGTGAATACCTGAGTAATTCCCGTCAGCTGTTTACAAAAGTCACTTAACATTGGTTGCTCCTCTGGGAGAACATAATAATGGAATTCACTCTCCACTTCTCCAGTTGTAGTGTTTAGTAACACTGCAGGAAACTCAACTGAAAGCAATCAAAGTTCCACAGTGTAAACATCAACTTTACAAAATTTTGGTAAAATTATTTTTTTTTCTAGTTTACAAACAAAAATTACTTTATGTCAAAATAACAACATATGACAAGCTATTAAAGTGTAGATACAACAGAACATGTTGCTTAACAACTTAACTTGGTCTTATATAATATTATATCTGTGTTTCAGCAAAGAATTTCTTTTAGCATCCCTGGAAGAGCACCTACTCTACCTAGGTGCAAAATTCTAATTCTTTCCAATATCAAGGTCCATTCAAAATATTCTTACTAATTTCTTGGGTCTGAAACTTTCTTTGCTCCCAGCATGTGGACTCATAATCCAAGACTATTAGATATGAAAACTCCTGGTCTAAAGCAACGAGAACAATCTCATCAGTTTGTCATTTCATGTACATGTATTTCAGCTTTAGAATAAATAGATACAACAATATTGGTCATTCTTTTTTTGACAAAAATAAAGTTTACATAAATATCTTGCTAATTAAATTTAATGTACTTTAAAAACTCCAAATCAACAACTGCTGAAATATGAGTTTCTTACATTTTGCTCTGGATCTTTTCTTACTGTGGAGATTTGTACCAGGATTTTTCCTTTGTCTCAGGAAACCAAGCTCTCTATAAAATATTCTTTGGTTAGAGCTACGTATAAAACTAAAAAGACTTGTAAAAATATACTGGTACTTTAATTATTAAGTTAAAGTAAAACATGGTGATGCATATTTATAGTTATAGCAAAGTGTCAAGAATGAACAATTTTGATTCATATAATTGTACCGGGTATATTCATTGTATCCATATAGTTCATCATATGTTTGCTTTAAGTATAAATTAAAGACAGTGTAGAAATATCGTAAAATGATACAGAAATACAACCTTGATAAACCTTAGAAAAAAACAATTTAGTTATCAAATATATCAATATAGAAAACAAAGCTGTCTATCTATGTAGATCTCTCATTCTTAAAGGGGCCTGGACACAGATTTGAAGTTAATATTTTCTCTAAAATTTTCTGTATAATATCATGACTTATATGTTGCTATAGCATTTCACATGAAAATTTAATAAAAGCTTGTTCAGAAACTTCTTTTATCTGGAAGTTATTGAAACTACAAATTCCGGATGTGTTTGATTGACACATCCGTGCACTTTCACAAAGAAAACTTTATCCATAATATTTAAGAAAGTAGAAATTTTGTTTTATATTAATGAAAAATATTAAAACTATAATCCAGAAAATTCATAATAATGTGAGAAAGCAAAAGCAACTCACAAGGATTTTCAGTTCATGCTCAGTGATGTGTGCAAAGTTTAACAAATTGAACACACCCAGTGAAACGTAAACATTAACAAAAACAGAGCTTGTGCTCCTCTATGCGATAGCATGAATAGAGGTCTGGCTTTAGTCAGATTGTGCCCTGTTCACAAAAAACAGACTGTTTGACGTAAAGTAAAAAAGAATGTCGTTGTCATTGAATTCTAAGAATATTCATGTAAGTTCAATTCATTTAACTTGTTTTATTTTTTTTGAATAAGCATAGAAATTTAAAATGTTAACAATGCAACCTTTGAATAACAGCTTTCCTATCCCTCAAACATCGATATGGTATAGATCTGATAAAATTCGGCCGTCACCAACTAAGCCGGGTAAACCCGGCTAGGCGCTTAGAATCCAGCGGCTTGGCTAATATACAGTAATGGAAATATTACTTCCATCGTTTATAGTTTATGTCACAATCATTCATGATTGTCACAATCTTGAACATTCCAAGTGGATTAATTGTTATAAACTTCATATGGTCGAGTCCAGAGCTTTCCTACCTGGCTAGTTCCTTTGTTGTTTTCATATTTACTTAATTTTGACCAAGTATCCATTTATCATTCGAGCATTTTACACCTGACCAGCGTTTTCAGAAGCGTTACAACTTCAACGTGTTTGAAGTTTACCGCGCCACTTGGCGGCTTCTAAGCGGAATGGTATAAAAGTGGGCACACATGTATTCAAATACCTAAATCTATTTGCAAGCCGCCAGCAGCCATTTATCTGTTTATCATGTTTACTCTGATCTTAGAGATCAATTATAATCTTGTTTAAATTATTTAAACAAAAATATTTAAGAGATAGTCCAACATTATAATGAAACTGAATAAAATCAATATTGGGAACCGAATCACATTTGGATTTTAGTCGCTCCCTATTTTTATATCAGCTGAACGTTTCAAGCAATGTCGTTTTCCGCATTGATTTTGTTAATCATTTTAACATTGACATTTGATTTCCAATCACATGTGTCATAATATGATACATACTGGTCCAGCTTAAAATTCACATCTTTATGAAACTTTAGGACATGGAGACAAAAAGAGAAAAGAGACTAGAGGCAAAGAAAAGAAAAGCAGCTGCTTTTTTACAACTTGTCAAAAAAGAGGTAAGTTAGCAGCTAGGAGAGATCAGCTGGATATGAGTGTAGAAATTTTTTTTTAATACTTTCTAAGTTAAACAGATTTATTCATCAGCAGAATGTGATATTTCTGGAAAATTGAATCTTTGATTGAATCTTTTGATGTGTAATTTACAAGAAGGATTTAAAATTCCTTTTAATCGACTATTGAGTTCATCTCGAAACCTTCCACAACTAATCTTGAAGTCCATTATACCATTTAATATTTCCATTTCTATTTGTTTTCTCTGTGATAACTCTTTGAAAGTTAGGAGAGTTGATTTCTTGATCATTCTACCGGAATGCAAATTTCGCCAAGCGAAAGGCCAGGAGCTAAGAAGGCCTAATATGCATGTAATTCTTGTGCGGCTGTCTTTGTGTCTGACTCTAATGAGGCCTTATATGCATGTAATTCTCGTGCGGCTGTCTTTGTGTTTGACGTCAGTGGGCAGGGACTATTGAAATTGACATGTGAGGCCTCGTGTAATTTAAATCTATTAGTCTACATTTTTTAAAATCTAAATTTACAATTTTATTTCACAATGAAATGGAAATATAAGGATTCACTGTCTAGTTAGTAGAGTATGCCAGGGACATCAACGATAGTTGGAAACGTGGGATAATTTATCCCACGTTTCCAACTATCGTTGATGCCCTGGCATACTCTACTAACTAGACAGTGATTCCTTAAATATCATACTTGGTATGCCAGTGTCGTTTCTTTCATCATCCTTTCTGGACAATACATAATATTTGCGATGATCTGAATAGAAGGGTGAGTGTGGTTGTATTTCATTTAAGTGAATACCCTCAACCTTTCGTGTTCAACTTAGATCCATCTTTTCATGAAGCATACTTCATTGGAAGGCTAAAGGTCAGATGCACTCAGTATAGACTGTGACATCACATGATATTATGTCAGTTGCGTGTTTCTTATTGATGACATAAGGTATTTATTAATACTAGATAATTTAAATGTTGTTTTACATGTCAAAAGGTACAATAATGGATAAATAAATTACTGAACATTTCAGGAAGAATATGTTGCACCTGAAAAGAAAAACAAATCTGAAGATTCCCAGTCAAATAATGAAAATCCAGCAGCTTCAGGGAGCAGTGGGAATAAAAATCCCCAAAATTTCCAGCAGATGGCAGAGGATGAACTTCTTAAACTTAGGCAAGCATTACGGGAGAGACAGAAATTATCAATGGTATGGATATTGTATATTTCTTTTTTTTTTCTGTGAAATGTTTTTTCAAGATTTGTTTTAAGAAGGATAACCTTTTATAACCAATAAAAGATTGAATTTAACTATAAAAAAAATGGAAATCAAATGCAAAGACTTTTTTCAACTAGAATTTCCTTTTTGCTATAGTTTTACAAAATTACATTTCAAACGTCCATTTTTTTCCCCATCATTTCTAGGAAAAGCCAAAGGTGTTCTTGACTCTGGAAGAAATGGCAAGGGAGAATGTTCCAAGCTTTAAAACAGACTTAAAGGAAGAAGATATTCCTCCTTTGTTTATTAGTGATATACAGAGTCTTATTTTATTTGCTGTACAAAAATCTGCTTGTAGAATGAAACCAAGGTACAAAAACTTTTAATACTTAACAGTTAGTCAGTACTTACAGTTCAAAATACCTATCAGCTGTAATAAATGAAGTTTTAGAAATCACATGTATTTGTAATAAATTTTTGAATACTCATGATAAAAAAGTATGACAGTATACTTACATAAACACAAGGAGTGAATGTATAAGACCAAAACATAAGGTACATGTATTTTTCTTGCACAGATGGTGTAAATTACTTCGAGGTGGAAAAGTGGCCAGTATTGTTGTGATGGTGATGAGTGGTGTCAGTAATACAGAGCTAGAGAAATATCCAGAATCATTTTCCACACTCAAAAATGAATTTCAAATAGTAAGCATATTATAAAATATTGACATTATAAGTAAAGTTTAGGTGAAGTACCAGCCATTATCCTTATCTTACCACAAAGAATTTGTGTAAAATAATCTTGTTAACCATGTCATTAATGCAAAAAAAAATGTGATTTTTATACAAAAATCACAACATTTTGTTCTTTAATTGCAATTATAATTGTAATCATGTTTTCCTACAAGTTCTATTAAGTTTTATTGTACTGGATATTTTTGTAACTTTCAGCATATAGATATAGTAAACCCATCTCAGTATGCCAGAACAGTGCCATCAGAACTATTCTGTATTCTACCTCCGAGACATGAAAGGATTGTGGGTAGGAATAATTGAAAATATTCAAAATTTAATGTATTTGTTGGTCACAGACTATTTTGCTTAAACATGAATCAGCCTTTTAGTACTTGTGTGTTTTATATTTTTGGTTAAATATAGTTGTACATGTATGTTGTCTGGATAAATATTTATACTGAAGTTCATCAAAAAGCATGCTAAAAATTGCATCAAAGGTACTTGATATGAATTTAAAATATGAGTTTAAAAATAAACACAAATACAGTACCCAAAATATTCATTAAAATCTTAAGAGTCTGCCTGCTTAAAACATTGTCATGAATGTTTTGAAAAATGTCTTTTTGTCTTGTAAAGCTTCCAAATCTGTTGCAAAGAAAAAAGTTGAAAAAGAAAAACAAGAAGAATCCTCCAAAAAATCAGACCCTCCTGAGGAGACTGACCATCCTCCAGCCCTACATAAAGATGATGCCTTTCCTAGGACATCTCTCCTTCTAAATACAGCTCAGTTAATGCAGGAGAAGTACCCCCTACCTGTACAGTACTGCAATGGTAAGAATGTCAGATACTGATTATAAAATGCCTATTGTAGATTATCAAAACAGGGAACAAAATTACTAATAATAAGTACATTTTCTCTGTAGAATATAACAAGGGTGAAATTTAAACTATACCAATGTGTACTTTTGTAGGCATAGAAATGGTAAGACACTAGAATACAAATGTACTGTGCTATTGATAAAATTCTTTGCTATAAATATTTGTACAAATACTACTGCTGGAAGGAATATCCCATACTTGAACATGTGTTGAAAGCTATAATAATTAGAGGAGTTTAGTAGTTAAGTAATGTGAGGCCCTGAGGTCTTTCTGTTGTTTTTGTTTGTGAGTGTGAATGCTGCTACAGAAGATAACTTTTCTTTAAAGGCATGTACATTGTACATGGAATTTGCAGTATGATACACACTCACTTTTATCGTTACCTGTTTTAAAAGTATAGATTTTAAGGGAAAGTAAAATATCTTTGTAGAAAATAATAAAATCTATGAAAAATGAAAAAGAGCAAGGATTTTTATTAGCTATGTGTATTGTTATTTTATATATAAAAAGACTTCTCTACACTTATGTTATTGACTTTTGGTAGTAAATCCAGTCAACTTTAAGTTCACCAAAGAAGACTATTTGCCAGTTGATGACCAGAGCCCTATGTTTGCCTTGGATTGTGAAATGGTAAGGATATACATGTATGCTTCATTACATTTTGTGCCTTCCTCCCTTTCCATATGTACTGTGCAGAACAAATCCTGGTAGCCTTTAGTGATGGAATACACATTATCCATATTAAGTCGTCTCTGTTCATTGGCTTTGAGAGGGATGTTTATGTTCATGTACAAGTAAGTTTGAAATCTTTATTCACAGTGTTTGACGGTAGCCAGACAGTTGGAGTTGACACGTGTATCTATTGTAGATGAGAAGTTAGAAGTTTTGTATGATACACTGGTTAAACCTTACAACAGAATCATCAACTATCTCACTGAGTAAGTCTCAATCACCATCAATCTCTCTGAGTAAGTCTCAAACAGAATCAACAACTATCTCACTGAGTAAGTTTCAATCATCAACCATCTCACTAAGTAAGCATCTCACTGAGTAATTCTCATACAGAATCATTAATTATCTCATTGAGAAGGTCTCAGTCATCAACCATTTCATTGAGTAAGTCTCAAACAGAATCATTAACTATCTCACTCAGTTAAGTCTCAACCAGAATTATCAAAAATCTGGCAAAGTCCCAAATAGAATCATCAACTATCTCACTGAGTTAAGTCTCAAACAGAATCATCTATTATACTATCTCAAAGAGTAAGTCTTAAATAGATCATCAACTATCTCAAAGAGCAAGTTTCTAATAGATCATCAACTATCTCAAAGAGTAAGTCTCAAATAGATCATCAACTATCTCAAAGAGTAAGTCTCAAATATGTTGGACATTTAAAAGTGCTACCTTCCATGTATATAGTAGTGTTGTCAACGAGTACCTGGTTAACCGTCAAACGATGTGAGTATCGGTTAGTAAAACTGCTATTCGGTTACTCGGATAAAAATACTTTTCACATAATAAATACATAGAAAATAAATGTTATATTGTTTATAAATGTATAATAATACATTTACCTAAAATTATTTACCATTAGACTTGATCTATTGGTTCACAAATAGGATTGATTTGTTTTGATTAGTTATCACAGTTTATATACAGTGTAATTGATAGCTTTGATTGCCGGGGGTATAAAAAATTTGAAGACCTGAGTTATAATTACCTCATTTACACCTGTACTAGTCAAAGGAGCCAAATTTAATAAGATGCCGCCGCAGACATATAAAGCTTGGAAGTATTTTCAAAGAACAGCTGATTTGAGATTTGTAAAATGTAAATTATGTGAATCGGTGATATTGTAGACGAGGGGACTAAAAATATGTTTAATCACTTAAGATTAAAAATTATTCAGAAATCAGCGATTTACTGGACACTCTACAAATGAACCAGTAATTACGGGTATTTTAATTCTCCTTGATCGCGACATATATCAGGGACTGAAAAGGAAAATGTAACGAGAGCCATTGTGAAAATGGTGATTGACTACTATCTTCTTCGTGTGTCTATAAAATTATTTTCTTAAATAAAAACATATAAAATCAAAATTCTTTGAAGATATTGTATATGTGTTTGAGCTTGTAATTGTAAATATACTTCATACACAGTACATTTGTTTTATTTCTACCAATAGGTAAAGGATGAGAAAAATAATAGATATGGTAACTGTAACGAAAAAATTATCCGAGTAACCGGGTACTTGATCGGAAAAGTATGCGAGTAACCGGTTACTAAAAATCGTCCGATTTGACAACACTAATATATAGATATAATATTAAAGGAGAAATACACTATATTGCAGCCATTGATCACACAAAATGATCTCAATTTCAACTATCTCTCAAATTTATCAACTGATTAAAAGTTTCAATGAGAAACAGTATATATTGTACATTAAATTTGACTGAAGAATCAGGTTTTCAATGAATTCACGAGGAATGTTTGAAGTCAACTTTCTCACAAAGCATGAGATTTCATTAAAAAAAAAAGTCCTTCTTTCTCACAGAGAAAGTCAAAATGATAAAAGTTTCAAATTTATCTTTTGATGACTCTTTAATTGTATGAATTAAGTCTCATTTGTCATAATCAAATTCAAATATTTTCATTTGCTGCTGGTAGTACATGTCAGTAATACATTTAATTCAGGAATATTTGATTTTACATTCTTGATTCAATTTCCCTTTGAGAGCAATGTCTACTTTTGCACCGTATACTCTCATATACCATAGTACAAGTCCTAATATCTACAGTTTATTTGTGTTTTAGGTTTAGTGGTATCACAAAGGCTCTACTGGATCCAGTCACCACACGGCTGTCAGACGTACAAAAGAAAATCCAGGAAATTCTGCCGGCCAACGCCATTCTTTGTGGACAGTCACTGGGCGGAGACTTAAAAGCTATCAAGGTAAAAGATGTGTTTTCTGAAAATATTGGAAAAATTGAGAAATATTTGCATGCATTTTTAATCTTTTTTCAAAATTATGAAGTGAGTTTGAGTCATGTATATTTTACTGGTATATAAAAATTACTGTCCATGCTATTAATAATACTATTGTATGTGTTCCTGTCATGGAAGGTGCAAGTATTCTTAATGTTTAATAGTATTCCATTTAAGTTAGTAATGGCTGTATGATTACAGATGTACCACCCTTATGTGATAGATACAAGCTGTATATATAACCTGTCTGGGCGGCCTGGAATTAAAACTGGTCTGAAGAGGCTCACAGAAATGTTTATCAAGTAGGTTATACAGTATACAATCAGTATTTTACAGTGTGAATCAGTTAACATACTACATGGACTTTATAGAGGATATTCAATGTTTTGTAGATGAATATGAAATTTATTTCACGAGTGGGACAGGATTTTTTGATATTTTCATGAGTGTGAATACAGTGTATCATGAGAATACCATGAGTGAAAATATTTTTAAAAATCCTGTCTCACAAGTGAAATAAGTTTCATATTCATCTACAAAACATTGAATTTTCTCTTTATTACATTTTCTTTGATTTTCCCTTTGCCTTAGTCTTTTTGTAACACAGTGTCATAGGCTGTGACATCATAGTCAAGTGGTTGAGACATCATAGCTTAGCGATTGAAAAACATTGTAAACATAGATTTTTAACAACATATTTGGAGAAACTTTGGCAGTTTTAGTCTCTGTCAGGATGGTTCATTTTTTCTAGCTTATGACAGGGATTTTAAAAAAAAAAAAAAAAAACAAAAAACAAAAAAAAAAACACACTCTTGAAGGAAAGAAAAATCTAGAATTTTGCTGCACTTCTGATATTCTCATACTGTGAGAATACCATTTTGATATCCTTTACTGTGTCAGAATATCACTTTATTCAATTAATAAATAACAGTATTTCACTGTTGAAAATGTAATAAATATTTATTTTTGTGCATTCATATTTTGCACAAATAAAAGTCATTCAAATTTGAGTGCATGCACCCCTGGATTGGTACTATGAATGTGAATACAGTAAAACACAGTTATAGAGAACCTCTAGGGCCAGTTGAAAACATTTCGTTATAAACAAAATTCACTACATCTAATCGGAATTTCCTTTTTTCCCTTTTTCTGGATTTTACAATAAAAGAAATTGGGGTCGACACATTAATTAGGTTCAGTCAGACTCAAGTAAATTGTAAACAAATATATTTTTTTCTCAGGCTTGAATAGATAGATAGTATAAAATGATTTAATATTATATATGCAGTACATTTTATGTGTAATTTGTTTACAGGGAGGCAATTCAGGAAGGAAAAAAAGGTCACGACTCAGTGGAGGACTCAATAGCCACCATGAAACTGGTTAAACACAAACTCAAACATAGTATGTATTGCTTTCATTCCAAGTCTTCACAAAAATGTTCAAAAATGAAATATTTAAACTAGGGATGTCAAATCAGTCAATTTTTGATAATCGGTTACTCGGATGTTTTTCCAATCCAGTACCCGTGTACTCGGTAAAAATGAAAATACAAGTTTGTTAATTTTCTTGAGCCTGGATAAGCTCTGTTAAATCCCAAAGCTGTTTTTATCACGTTTATAAATGTATGTTAACAACTGAGTCAAAGGGAGGTAATTTTTTTTGGTACCAAATTTATTTATCAAATAAACACAAAAGTCACAATTCATACATCAAAAATTACAAATGGTTTACAGTTCTTGTTTAGGACCTATTTCATCAACGCAAAAGGAGGACAATCTGTTACGCAGGTTTGTGATGTTAGACTAGCGAAAGAGAAGGAAAGGACGTTGTTGGGATTGCTAGTCTTATATTATTTCATATGTTGATTGTTTCTCACTATGCAAACTTACTTTCAACATTTTTAAATCTTTAGTTATTTCTAAATATTTCTTCACTTTTGAAGTGGGTAGCGGCATGTCTGATTTAGCCACCGTACATGTGTATATTAAATAATTTAAGAAGATAATAGACCATACTTAAATGATGTTTACTGAAAACAATCGTTGAGGCCATCCAAAAATTAATGACCACAATAGGTGAGAACTGCTGTGTACCAGATGATTGGTCATTAATTACCGTATATACACAGCCACAGGCGATAACAGGTGTTTTACAGGTGTAGATGACAACACACTAATAACCTTATGCATATCTAAGTTATTTTTTGATAGGTTTTTAATAAAAATATGTACTTTGAAATAAGAAAAAATACACTTCTGAGTAACCGAGTACCATTTTTAGTAATTGATACTCGGACATTCGATCGAGTACCTGGTTAACCGGGTACTCATTGACATCCCCATCCTCGCAAGCCAGGGGTCCTGAGTCAACACGTTGCCGTTGGACCCCTGGCATATTTCATTCAATATTCGTGGGCTTGCTTCTCTCATTGAGAAGCACCAATCAAATTAAAGCTTTCTTAAATAGTTAGATAAGGATTCCAATGACACCTCAAATGCACGTGTTACAAGTTGTTTATCATAGAATGACTTAATGTGATTGGTTGAGGGATAAGAAAAACAATCAAAATTTGTAATTTTTCCGAAAGACGTCGCTACAGTCAGCCCACAAATATTGAATGAAATATGCCAGGGGTCCAATGGCAACGTATTGACTCAGGACCCCTGGCTTGCGAGGATGTGACATCCCTAATTTAAACTCTTTTTTTTAATGTCTCAAAATATAAAATGAATTAATTTGAGCAATTGACCAACAATAAGAATAATTTAGGGGGGAAAAAAAGGTCAATGTAGAGAAATGAAAAGAAGTTGTGAACATATTAAAACTAACTAAAGCAGAAAGGGAGAAAATACCACATACACGTAATAAACTAGGATTTAAACCCAGGCCCTTTGAACTAGAGAGTGTCTGCCAGAGGGTGCATGTCAAACCAGTGAATTTCCCCTCCTTAAATGTCATTACTCCCAAAGACACCAGCTCAGGCTTATCTTTGGCAGGTTTAGCATCTGTCACTTTCAGGGAATATCTATTGCACCAAATGTATCAGAAAGGGAGAAAGTGTAACTGATTGGACCAGAAATCAAACCTGGTCCCCTAAACTTTAGTCAGGGCTCATCTATTCTCTTTAGAGAAGTGGACAGGCTTTCGCCTACATCCACGTGGATGTAGGCGAAAGCCTGTCCATTTCTCTAAAGAGAATAAGGGCTCACCCAACTAAGCCATTTTGCCACTGTCTAATGCCCACCTACAACATAACAATGAAGTACAAATCAAAATTAGTTCAGTTAAAACTAATTTCTGATTTTTTGTACAGATTTCAGTTCAGAAATGTTTGCAACTGATATGGAAATTTGGCAAAAAAGAAAGTGATTTCAGATTTTATTAGGAAAAAAATGAGTAACTCAAAAACATGTCAAGTACATGAACATTGTGAATGGATTTGGATTTGCTATCATTATACCCTTGCAAATTTGAAGGGGGATATACTAAAAAAGTGTCCTTTTATCTATCCATCTATTTGTTTGATTTAAAGAAAGAAATTGTTTTGTTCCTTTAATTATAATACTATCTTGAACAGATTTGTGCCACATTTTAACTTGGTACATGTATTAAACATGCTTTTTTGTTATACCGAAATATTAAGGTCGTTTTACCACTAGTAGTATAAAGTTGTTTTTCAAGAAAAATGATATCAGTATACAGAACTATGCCAGCTTTGCTGTTTTGTTGTTTTTAAGCTAAAGGTTAAACATTATTTTTAACAGATGTCAACTATGGAGATGTAAGAATGGGGTGGACAGTTGCAGACAACAATCCTGAAGAACAAACTGATGGAACAGGGTCAGAGTTCAAACTCTTAAACATGGAAGAACCTGAAGAAAACGATGAACCTGACACCCCTCAAAAACACATTGTATCTAGACAGAAAGCTTTCTTTAGAATGGAGCGATATTTTTACAGCATGTTTGAAGTCCTGCAGAAATATGGTCTTACAGGTAATGAAATAGATGTGGTTTTCTTACTTCGTAGTCACGCGTTTATTATAATTGAAATTTCCAATAGGAGCATGAGTTTCAGAAAGAAATGTTTTATAGCGCAAAAACCATTCTGTTGATAATGCTGTATTACTAGTATTTGGATTTTTTTTTTAATATGGGATCAGCAATTGTTTTAGAGAGAATTTCATGATTGTAACTATAAGTTAATATTTTTTTTATCTTTAGCTGCCATGGTAACAGACCAGGAAACAGTTCAGAAGTTTGGAATGGACAATGGAGTGGTTGCTATAGGATCAGATTCAGATAAAAAGACCAAATCACTTGTGAAATCTCATGTACAGTTTCATGACTTTGTGTACAATAGTTATGACAACTATCTTTCTCACATAGGAGTGGAAGAAACAGAAGAAGCAAAATTGGTAAGACTGGACTAAAAAAAGATTTTCTTTTAATACTTGTTTTGCATCTAGGGATGGACATTACCACACTTGCTTCGGATGCTAGATCTGACCTAGATTTTCCAGTTGAGTGACCAGGTTAAAGTTTTTGGAGCAGGTCCACTCCCAAGTAACTATAAACCCTACCTGGACCAAACTTGCATGGATGATGCATCTAGGGATGGACACTACCACACTTGGTTCGGATGCTGGATCCAACCTAGATTTTCCAGTTGAGTGACTAAATTAAAGTTTTTGGAGCAGGTCCATTCCCAAGTAATTATAAGCCCTACCTGGACCAAACTTGCATGGATGATGCATCTAGGGATGGACACTACCACACTTGCTTCGGATGCTGGATTTGACCTAGATTTTCCAGATGAGTGACCAGGTTAAAGTTTTTGGAGCAGGTCCATACCCAAGTAACTATAAGCCCTACCTGAACCAGACTTGCATGGATGACACATCTAGGGATGGGCACTACCACACTTGCTCCGGATGCTGGATCTGACCTAGATTTTCAAGATGAGTGACCAGGTTAAAGTTTTTTGGAGCAGGTCCATTCCCAAGTAACTATAAGCTCTACCTTGAACAAACTTGCATGGATGATGCATCTAGGGATGGACACTACCACACTTGCTTCGGATGCTGGATTCGACCTAGATTTTCCACATGAGTGATTTTTAGCTATATTTTAACCAAATTAGCATGGATGATGTAGCTAGGGATGATCACTTCCAGACTTGCTTTGGATTCTGAATCTGACCTACATTTTCCAGATGAGTGACCAGGATAATTTTTTTGGAGTAGCTATATAACATTTTGGCCTGTTATGATTAAACTTGCATAGATGGTGCATCTAAGGATGAAAACTTCCAGACTTACTTTGGATGTTGGAACTGACCAAAATTTTCTTGATTAGATAACAGGATAACGTTTTTTGAACAGGTCTATTTCCAAGTAACTATAAGTTGTACTTAAACCAAACTTGCATGGACATTGATCTTGGGATGTACACTAAATAAAAAGAAATATGTGAAATTTGCCTTACTTAAAGATAACATTCGTCGAGGTGAGCTTCGTAATCTTTGATTACCTATGTTCCAGATAATTCAAAGTGTAATTCACTTTCTTTACAGAACTGCTTACAGAAAATGGACAAAAGAATAGGAAAGATTCTTAAGAATGTGAAACAGAACTCTTTGGTGATTGTGATAGTTCCAGGACGATCTGAAGCAGGAAAACAACATACTGGCACAGCATTTGTTAAAATAAAAGACTAAAAACCCTTACCTTGTATTTTTAATGACTTTTTAAGTTCTGAGCAACAGCATAACACATTTCACATCTTAAATGAAAACTATAGCTCAGTTAATATGCTAAAACAAAATGCCTATGGGCCACAACACTCACCTGAATTGCATTTCTTTTCTGATAAATGAAACCCGTATTGCCATAAACTTAATGCACATGTTTTCAACAATTCTAATCTACATGTTGGTTTTCAACAAGTATACAAATTTAAAATTGTAGTTTTGCTGTAAAGTATACATTGTAGGTTTTCCTGTGTAAACTTTGATCCAATATTGTGGCCTCGATATATTTTATGTGAGCAAACTTGAATCTACAATACATGGACATGCGTGCATATTGATTTGATCAGTTGAGGTTCTTCTATTCTTGAATAATTTGTAATAATGTAAAACTAACCCCACTATTGAGACCCCACCCGAGCTGCAGGTCCAATGGTTTTAAAACTTTTCAATGCTTCATTGGGATGCTTGCATATTTATCTGACCTGTTTCTTGCTTTTCTGGCGGAGGAGATTTTAGAGACCTTCTAGGTCACCTGAGTCACTCAGGTGACCTATTGCTATCTGTTTTTGTCTGTGCGTCGTCTGTCGTGCGTTAACTTTTGAACATTTTCAACTTCTTCTCTAGAACTGCTAAACCAATTTCAACCAATTTTGGCATATAGCATCTTTGGGTGAAGGGGAACAAAAGTTGTGAATTTCATTGTCCCTGCCCCCCCCCCTCCCCCCCCCCCCTCCGGGGCCCCAGGGGTGGGGCTAAAACCACCAAAACTGATGCAATCTTTAAAAATCTTCTTCTTCTTTACTCCTGGACATTAAGCAGTTAAACGGTTGGCATAATTGTAATAAGCATTGGGTCCTCTACCAAATTGTGAAATTCATGGCCCCAGGGTCAGGGGTTCTGATGCTAGGTCGGAGCTATATAGATCATATAGTGAAAATGCATTAATTCTTTAAAAATCTTCTCCTCTGCTCCTAGGTATTTTGCCGATGAACTAAGTACATAGTTATGATGAGCAAGAGTGCCTCTTCCAAAATTATGAATTTCATGGCCCCTGGGTCAGGGGTTCTGGTGTTAGGGCGGGGCTCTATTGATTATATAGTGAAAATGCATTAATTCTTTGAAAATCTTCTTCTCTTCTCTTGGGTATTATTTAAACAAACTAAGTGAATGGTTATGATAAACATTGATGCCTTTTCCAAAATTGTGAATTTCATGGCCCCTGGGTCAGGGTTCAGGTGTTAGGGCGAGGCTCTATTGATTATAAAGTGAAAATGCATTAATTCTTTGAAAATCTTCTTCTCTGCTCCTGGGTATTATTTAAACAAACTAAGTGCATCGTCATGATAAGCATTGATGCCTTTTCCAAAATTGTGAATTTCATGGCCCCAGGGTGGGTGGGGGGGGGGGGGGGCTCTATTGATTATATAGTGAAAAAGCATAATTTGTTTGAAAATATTTTGAGTTTCATGGCCCCTAAGTCAGATGTTCTGGTGTAAGGGTGGGGCTCTATTGATAATATAGTGAAAATGCATTAATTCTGTTAAATATTCTTGTCTGCTCCTTAATGTCTAGCAGATAAACAAAGTGCATAGTTATGATGAACAATTGTCCTTCTTACAAAATTTTTAAAACTTGTGGTCCCCAGGTTTAGGTGTTTCTCGGGCCATGGGAAGGGGGGGGGGAGCTAAAGTAAGAATGTGTTAATTCTTTGAAAATCTTCAACTAAGTGCATAGTTATGATGATGAGGGTACCTCTACCAAGTTTGTGAATATCATGACCCTGGGACATAGGTTTTTAATGTTAGGGTAGGGCTGTGTTGAATCTGAAAATGCATTATTTCTTTGAAAATCTTCTCTGCTCCTTGGCATATTGAAGGCAAACAGAATAAAAGTTTTAATAAGCAAGGATATTTTTACCAGATTTTTGAACGTCGGGACCATTTGGTCAAGTGTTCTGGTCCTGACCAGGGCTCTATTAATTTGTATTCAACTGAGAGAAGTTATTCTCCCTTTGCCATTTACTTTTGATAATTAATCACTGTAAATAAAGTATTTGAAAGTTAATAGAATAAGAGAATTATGCAAAAAAATTTATTGTATAATACAAAAAGTACTTTCATAGTTTTAATGATCAGGTAGACTTGTAAATAATATATAAATAAAATGAGACAAAAATAACTTAATAAATGTTCTTCAAAGACCAAGAGAGGCGAATGTGAGAGGTCACAATATGGGGGAAAAAGTAGTACAGAAGAACTAATAGTTTGTTGAAAGTCTGCATGGTGATAGTGCTAAATGGGAGATAGATTAGAATTTAATGTATGTGTTGTTACTGAATACTAGACTAATTATTTCATTGATCCTGATCATCCTAGTTTATTTTATACTTTATGGATCCTCTAAATTGTTGTATTATACTCAGGTGACCGTTAAGGCCCTTATATATTCCTCTGTAAATCTTTGACCCCTTATTGTGGCCCCACCATTGCTATGGGAGACATGAGTAGAGCAAATATGAATCACAAGTGTTTAGAAAAAATTTCTTAAATTTGTATTACTTTTGTGAAGCCCAGTGGTTCTTACAAAATTAGAATTAAATAACTATTTGACCCTATTTCAACTTTTGCCAAGATCTTCAGTAAGAATAGGGTATGGCACTTTCAATTCCCATTTGCTAGGGATGTTATATTGAACATTTGGTTGAAATCAGCTAGTGGTTCCAGAGAAGCCAAAAATGTGAAGTTGACTGACAGACGAAAGACTACTATAAACAAAATTTGATCTGAAAAACTTGCTTAACGAAGCCGAGTCTAATTCGAGTGCGCATGACTTTGCGCAGCTTTTTAATATCATGCAGTCATATGTGCGATATTAAACCTTTCCCAAGTACATGTATTGTGATTTTAATACAAAATTAACATTACATGTAACATGTATGGGTCTGAAAATGTGCTTTTACAACTATAATTAGGAAAATTGCTGATTCAGAAATGGCTGTAACAGCGTCACTGTTTTCCAATTTTGTAAGCAATGCATGACGCTGAAGAATGACATTATGACTCACTTGTGTATTCAAGTCGTCAATTGACATTTTACTAAAAACTGCTGACAGAACATCAAAAGAAACATACTAACAATCTAAACATCATTATTTTTTACCAAAATACTTCATCTGCGCCTAGAATTCATCTGCACTGATATATATATATATATATATATATATATATATATATATATATATATATATATATATATATATATATATATATATATATATATATATATATATATATACCGCAATATGGCAATTTTAGAGGTATTGGGCATTGAAAAAATAAACTTTATAATAATTCCTAATTCCTAGACCTTCCTAGATGGTCGACTTTTATGAAATTTCACAATTTGGTGACTTTTTACAATAACTTTCATGTACTTGACTGAAAAAAGAAATTTCTAGGGCAGAAATACCATAAATATGGGGAAAAAAATGTGATAATTTGGCACTTTTCCAGCAAATTCTTATAGGGTCCAATAGTAAAATTTGACAACTTTTGAGATGGCCCCTTAAGAAATCGGGATGATAAACTTTCAATTATTTAATCTTAAATCAATAAATGTAATTGTGAAACAACTAATTCAAGAAAATTTATCAAAATATCTAGGGTAGAAATATTTAAACTCGGCCTCGTTAACCTTTGGCTCAGGTGAGCTAAAAGATTACTATTCTTTCTGAAATTAGCAGATTTAATGGAAGGACAGCAAGGCTATCAAAGCCAATAGAAATAGCTAAGCACAATTCCACAGAACACTTGCAAATCTCAATTGCAAGATAGGGGTTCTTACAACATCTGATAGATGATAACCCTAGCTAACCCTAGCTAATTTTATTTCATGAATTACAGTTCTCAGATTGAAATCAATAATCTATTTTGAAAGACTGAATATGGTGTAAAATGATGAAGTTTTTTTTTTAAATATAATGCATTGAAATTCAACACATTTCATCTTGTATTGAATCCAATGGGTGTAACATGAATTTTACCTTTTAATCAAATTTCGTCGCTTTCGCTAAGAGGTGGCAATATTTTTGGGTCTATCGTAAAATGGTTTCCAGTTCTGAGTTTTTGCAATGTAAGTCGATGAGTCTCTCTAACTTGAGAAAGACCCCTCAGGCTATTGATTTGAGGCCAAAAGGTAAAAGGTCTAGGTCAATTCTTCACAATCATCTTCATTTTGTTAGGTCTTTCACCAATTTATTTTGTCACTAAGCAAGGGACATAAATTCTATTAATTAGCTTGTTTAAGTTGCACTCTTGCAACCATAGTGAAGCATAGAGGAAAACAAATATAATCTTTTTGAAATATTTATTTCATCCGTAATTTTAATGAATAACACAGAATGGACAGTAACTACACAAGTATTTAAATATATCAACAAACAAATAAAACGTCACAGATTCCATAGCATACATCATGACCTGAAACGATAACAAGTGACTCCAAATTAAAGCATATTTTTTAATGAAAACTGTGCTTTGCATTTCTATCTATTCCATTTAGTGGTACATGTAAATACATACCTATTGGTGATACATCTACAGTGACCGTAATGAACATCTACTATTTGAACTAGGACAGCTAGTTTGTTCCATTTTCCAATGTATAATTATTATTTTGCTCCCCATATTTAAATGATTGTTCATTAATTTTGGGATTTGATATTAATAATCATTTTCTACAATCTATCATTATCTGGGGCAGTAGTCGAAGATTTGTCAATGAAAAATGCAATAGTGTCCCAGAATGCAATATTTCAGTAACGTATTAACTATCACAGAAAAAATGTGTTTGTTCTGGTGTTAGCACTAAAATGCATAATGGTGTTGCCTTGCACAATATCTTGATGTTTTGAGTCACAACAAAACAATTTTAAGACATGAAAAAGACATATGTACATAATGTTGGATTTCAGTTTCAGAGAACATATCACAGAGATGGTGTGAACTTTAAAAAAAAAAAAAGAAATACAGTGAACATGAACAATTGATAAAATTTTTAGAAATATGGGATGTTCTGCAGGAAAAACTAATAATGTTTTGGATGTTTTGTGCAAAAACAAAAAACAAAAAAAAACCCCACAGTCAAACTTCTTGTCCTCATTTGAAGTGCTGGAATTAGACCAATGGCATGAAAATATAGAGAATATACAGCATTTCTAAAATATGTGTATCTGATGTCTTTTTTTTATTACTTATATTTCAGGTAAAGTAGCATCTAGATGGACAATTAATACATGTTATCATCAAATTGTTAGTTGAATTGGTTTCTCAGAGCTACCTACTTCTACCTAAATGTATGTTAAAGTATGTGCAAAGAAATTAACATTATGCCCAGAGTAACATTTTCAGTTTTTAAACATACTAAAACAGCTGAGTACAATAACACTCCAGCCCATCAACATAGGCTAGTTACATGAGTTAATATTAAAAAAAATAAACTCCACTTGTATGTTTTTTATATCCTGAACAAGCAACAAATTAATGGTTTTAATAACAGCTTTGTAAAATTAAAAAGAGTAAGAACAAATGAGATCAGAGTTCTTTCCATAAAATGTTGTCACACTCACAGACACACCTACAGTCAAACATACATGTACATGTATTTGCAATGAAGATCGAATTTCTTATTTGTTGCCATGCCTTTATCAGAAATAAATTTGCATGGAATCATAAAGCTAATTTGTCTTGTTTCCTTAACAGACTATGGCTACCATATAAGATTTGAAAAAAAAAAAGATTGTGGATTAAATTTTTCTTTACAGCCATATATGGTCAGTTCTACTGAATGCTAAAAAAGATTTAAATAAATTCTACTTTAAAAAAACTGTGATATTTGATGATACATAAATTTACTTTTAATAGATAAATCTAAATAATGGCAAAGGGATTCAAGAAAGTTAGTGTATACATGTACTATGAAATCGATTTATGTTGGAAAGTAAATTGAAATGATAGATGTACTAAGCAACCGACTTTAAAAATGTTCAAACTGTAAAGAATAAATTTGACTTTTTCTTCATATCTTAATTGCTTATGTTTATTGCTGTACATTTCATATCTGGCCAAATCATGAAAAATTTTCTAAGGCCATAAGTGCTTGTAAATGAAAATCTTGAACACAAAAAGATGACAGTATTTTAACAAGTACAGTACCCTAAGTAGGAAAAAGACCTTTAAGTTTTCCTTTCATACCCTGCAATGGAGGAATTCATGGTTACATTTAAAAATTCTTATTCTTAAATGTGGAAGTTGTTCATTAAGTCTTAATGCAAATAGTCTGCATCTCAAATATTTTTCATTTCACTGTTATACATGAATACATAAAAATATGTTTAAATAAATAATACAAAAGGTAATAAACACATGGAATCCATTGGAATTGGCACTCAAAAAACATGTCCTCACCAACTAAATCATAGCAATAAATTATAATTTCTAACTCTCAATAAAAAATTTCTTTCAAAACAATGCAAATGATCCATTGTGTCAGTAAGCCAGAGTATTTGTTTATTTTTTCTTGGTTGAAGATAAACTAATTTGGCCTTTAATTTCTTAACATTTTCAGTATCTTTAACGAGGCAATATTTCTGATAATAAAAAATACATTTAGTTTGATTGTAGGCATCATAACTACTTTGCTGGAGTAAAACAGCGAAGTTCACATGGTTCTAAATATTACTGGAAAATGGAAGAAAGACCATGGTACCATTTATCGAAAGAATACTTCTGAAATTTTCCCTGATAGGATTATACTTTTTGAGATGCTCCCTGGTAGGAAATGGAATGGTGACTAGTCAGAGGTGGCCCCAGCCAAGAGTCGACAAAACCATCCACGTACACTTCGTATGATCTGTCGTGGTAGGGCACATGGCTGTAACTTCATCAATAACTCTCCCATATTCATGAAATAATCAGTATCACAATTAAGGAAATTACTGATACATAATTTTGTGAAATTAATTTTGAATATAACACATGTTTATAATAAAAGTCCATTAAAGGTGTAAATTGATCAGATGGTTACAATGCTGATCTATTTTTCTAGTTCCTAGTCAAGTGAATTGTTTCTTATCATACAAGTAGGCCATATTAAGATTTGTTGAAGGGTTGTTTCCAATAGGAAAGAATTTAATTCAGAAAAGTTACTTTAAACAAATAAATGTACATGGCTAAAAATATTTGCTAGTAAAAGGTCCCAAAACCAACATTTCTTGCATGAAAGTAATGATTAGTTTATCGTATATATTTCCTACGTCTTGTCCTGAATTCTCAGCTGTAGTTCGAGTCCATTAAATCTTTACACCCACAATGTATGTTTTCCCAAACTTTTTAGTGTTCTTCAATCATTTATTAAATCAAAACAGATAATTCATATCAAAATTTTCAGTTAATACATCCCCACTTACTAACATTGCAGAGTAAAATCAAAAATAATTTTATTAGAATCCATTTTAATTTTTTGAACAAAGAATTACACTACTTCTCTTATTTTTACTGTAGATCACTTTTTATTTGCAAGAACTTTATTTTGGTGTAATTATGTGAGACTGCCTGCTTGCCAAAATTTAATTTTCAATGTATATTTGTAGTACAAAAGATTATATAGAACATAACCGGAGATTGTGAAAATTATCTCCCTTATAAACACCAAATAGCCATCTCGCGAAATTAAAGTGTTGTGAAAATTTGGTGATCGACAGTACATGTGTGTACAAATGCATAGGGAAACCACATGTAAAGCTATAATAAACATAAGGCCCTATGCTCACTTAAGTCCTAACTGGTGGAGGGCTGAAAATTTAGACCTGTACTCAGCACTTATGGCCTTTGAGCAGCGAGGGATCTTTTTTGTGCCAGCACCTACTGTGACATGGGGTCTTGGTTTATATGGTTTAATCAGAAGGAATGGTCTCTGCATCACACAGCAGATTTGAACCTGCGACGTAAGGATCAACTCCTTACTCCGCAACTCTAGAACAAAGGCTCTTACCACCTCGCAATGCTCGTGACTTTTGTTTTTTGTAGATCTCTCAAGAGTGTGTATTTTTTGTTCACAAAAAAGGAAAGGAGGGGTCTGGAACCTAATCGAAATTAGTTGAAGGTTCTAAAGAAGATAAATTGTAAAATGTTCATAGACAAGTTACAAAAAATGCCACACAGTGGATGGAATCAGGACCAATTTTGATTGAAAAGGCTCCTTCAACCTACATGTAGCCTATGTCTCTAGTGAACTGAAAATGGGGTGACATCATATATTGTTGACCATAACGTGATTTGAATTTGCATTAAACAACCAGGATTTTCTAAAGGATATATTGTGGACCAAGGAGGTTTTCCACCATTGATGTACAACACATAGAGATATCCATCTCTAGGTTTTCCTTGTATTGAGTAGTAGTAAGGGAGGAAGCTGTGGACATTAAATCTTCGCTTCTCGTAAAACTTGATGGCAACACAATTGGTGGCCAGGACATGGAGATATATGGCTTTACAGTTGTAACGCTCTTTGGCAGTGAGGTAAGAGATTAAGCTATCTAATAACAAGGAAGCTACAAAAAAAATAGTTAATGTATGTAATTAGCAATAAAAAAAGATATTACTGATATGTGTTAAGTTTCTGCAGATAGTTTTAGTTTACTTTGGTTTCATCAATATTCATTAAACACTAATTTTCATGGACTTCGTTGACGAGACAATCCACCAAATAAAATGTTCATTCAAATAAGAAATGTGACAATGATTTTTATTGGAAGGACCACTGTGAATTGTACAAAATACACAAAAATTAATGCCCATGAGTATTAAAGAAACCACAAGACGTAAATAAAACAAGAGGCCCATGGGCCACAATGCTCACCTGAGTCACCTTGGCCCTGCTGTTCTACAGAGGAAGATTTTTTAAAGCTACTCTTTAAAAAGACTTGTTCCTACATTTTACCTTGTAAAACTCTGATCCCCTACTGTACCTCCATCCTATCCCCAGGGGTTATGATTTAAGCAAACTTGATTCTAAACAACCTGAGGATGCTTGTACATTTAACAATAATCTTGGCCATGCTGTACTTCAGAAGATTTTTTAAGATTTGTTTCCTATATATATAACCATGTAGAACTTTGATTTCCTATTGTGGCTCAACCCTGGGGGCCATGATTTGAGCAAACTTATATCTGCACTACCTGAAGACTTCCATTTGAGTATGACTTATCAAAGCTCTGCTGTTCTTCATCAGATTTTTTTTTAAAGAATATTTTCTAAATATAACCATGTGAAACTGAGATTTCCTATTATTGCCCCAAGCTACTCCAGTGGCCATGATTTGAACAAACCCGAATCTACACTACCTGAGAATGCTTCATATGAATATGACTAATGAAAGCTCTGCTGTTCTTCATCAAAAAAATTTTAAAGAATATTCCCTGTATACTTGTATTACCATGTAAAACTTTGATACCCTATTGTGGCCCCACCCTATTCCCTGGGACCATAATTTGAAAAAAAAAATTGGAGCTACACTATGTAAGCAAGATTTCATTTAAGTTAAATCTTTCCTGGCCTGGTGGTTTTTGAGAAGAAGATTCTTAAAAGATGTCACTATATTTTCACCAATTCTTAATTATCTTCCTTTGAAAGGGGGTGATGCTCTTCATTTGACAAACTTGAATCCCCAAGGATGCTTTGTGGAAAGTTTGGTTGAATTTGGTTCAGTGGTTCTTGAGAAGTCAAAAAATGTTAAAAAGTTTACAAAACAAACTGACACCAGACAAAATGTGATCAGAAAAGCTCACTTGAGTTTTCAACTCAGGTGTGCTAAAAATCCAATAAGGAACTTGCATAATGAATAAAATATTACATGTTTAAATGTGATAGAGGCCATTAGGAATTTTTATATAATTAGGATTGACTCTAGATGAAATACATACCTATTCCATGTTTTCTGTAGTCCACCACCACACCCAGGCTGAGAATATAGGCCACCTGACATGTTGAGGGATAATAAGAGGCCAGTATATCTGCATCCTACAATGTTAAGCAATTATACTGCATATTGATTAAATGTATTTTGAATCACAAAAAAGGATCTCCAAGGCTTTTGCCAATGAGACACAAGTTTTTCAATAAACAAGAGATGTTTGTGAAACACTTATGCTCCCCTCCAACCCAACCCTCCCCACCTTTGGACATACATTATAGGGTTTGCTCGAATGTACCCAAAACAGAACTTGACCAAATTCAAAATTCTAAATTTCAATTTAGTATGTGCAACCCCTGCAAAGAAAATGAAACTGCAAATAATTGGAATTTTTTATAAGTCCAAGGGACATAACTCTTTCAAAAAATACTCGATCATACCCAAAACAAAACTTGACCTAAATATCCTTATGATAAATCTGTATACCAAATTTAAATTCAGTATGTGCCACCTCTGCAAAGAAAATGGAACAGATACTGCAAATAATTAGAATTTTTCTAGGTCCAAGGGGCATAACTCTGTCAAAAATTGCTCATCTGTACCCAAAACAGAACTTGATCTAGATATTCTTATGTTAAATCTGTATACCAAATTTCATATCAATATGTGCAACGTCTGCAAAGAAAATGAATGGAAAATGTTGGTGGACCGACAGACAGACCAACCTACGGACAGCAGCAAAGCAATATGCCCTTCCTTCTTCGAAGGGGGGGGGGGGGGGCATAAATATAAATACCAGTATAATGAAATCATGGCAGCTGTGTCCTATGATTTTAAGCTTGACTCAATTACTCTTTAACAGCCATAATCATATATACAGGACATAAAATTGTTAGAATTACACACACACACACAAAATACTCTTTAGAATTAATTTAAATGTTGTGTATTTTGTCTTCAACCATATTTGATCTTGAAAATGACCTTGAAAATTCTGGCATCAAGATCATGACCTATCTATTGTAACGATAAGCAAGGGGCTCAAATGAATCACATTTGCCCTTCTAATCTTAAGAAGATTTTTATAGATTTTTTTTCTATACATTTCCATGTAAAAGTCCATCCTCTAATTGTGCCTTAACCCTAACCACATGAGGTAAACTTGAATCTACACTTTATATGGATGCTTGCATATCAATGGACTAATCATGGCTTCTGTTCCTGAGAAAAATATTTCAAGACATTTTTCCTGTTTATTCCCCTAAAAAAAACTTTGTTCCCTATAGAGGACCCTTCCAACCTTGGGACCGTGATATAAAAAGAAATTGAATCTATACTACATGGGAGTGCTTACATATAAATGACTAAATGTGCCCTTGTCATGAGACTTTTAAAGTTTTTTCCCTTTATATTTCAGTGTTTAACTTTGATCCTATACTGTGGCCATACCTTAATAGCCAGGATTTGAAAAAAATTAAATCCATCCTCAATTTCCTATCCTCCACAGGGTAGTTTTTCTTTAATTTGGTCCTATGGTTCTTGAGTAAAAGATTTTTTAAAAAGATTTTTTAAGCAATGTTAATTTTGATATGCGTAGAATTGTATACTGTAGATTACTTAATTTTTTTCAAGAAACTTTATTTTCATGAGATTGTTATTTGGTATTTATAAGCGAGAAAAAAATTTCAAGAATTTCGGTCATTGCTCTTTAAAATCTCTTGTAATACTAATATACAAGAAATTGACATTCTCGCGAGCAGACAGTTTCGCATAACTATGCAAAAATAAAGCTCTCGCAATCAAAAAAAGATTTACAGTAATAAAAAGATTCTGTAAGTTTTACAGTCAGATAAGTAGCGATAACTGAGATATTTGGGGGTCAAAGTAGGTAGTTCTTGCACTTGTCTAAAAACAATCAATGCTACTTCCATTTTTTTTTTTTTAATAAAAAAAAAAACTGTGATGTCACATCAATCATATTTTTCTTATATATTTTTTATTCTTATATTATTCTTATATTTCTTATATTATATTATTATTTTTCTTATATTCTAACTTATTTATCTTCATTTGAGAGAGGGCTCTTCATTTCAACAAACTTCACCCAAGAATGATTTGAGGCGAGGTTGGTTAAAATTGGCCTAGTCGTACAAGAAAAAGGGTTGAGAAGATGAGAAGATTACAGACAATACACCACACACAGCTAAACAGACGCTGGACACTCTTTGATCAGAAAATCTCACTTGAGCCTTTGGCTCTGGTGAGCTAAAAACACTAGAAGACTCTACTCAGTTTGCGGGGGAGTGAGGAACTTAATGTTTTAGAATACTTTATCATTTGAACCTCTTTATTGGTGTTGGCAAGTTGTTTGACCTCAACCACAATAATTCCTATGATTCTGGAATGGTAGGTGGCTGCCAGGGAGTAAAACTTGGGATTGGAAGTTATCTCCTGGTACCAGGTGTCTGGGTATCTGTAAAATTTTGGTATTTTTCAAATTATTGAACTTTAGTATCTGAAATACTGGTACTGATATCTCAAATACTATGGATATGTCTTGAATCTTCGGATATCTTGAATGTTTTCTCAGTACCATTAAGTTCAAATTAAGGGGGTTTGAACGTATACATCTAATATTAAGAATGGGTCAAATAAATGATGTTTGAAATTATAGAGTCTTTAAACAATACACTTAACAGAGAATGCATCACTTACTCAATAGGAAACCATTCTGTACACAGCCTTTTTACTTCATCAATGTCATTTGGACAGAGAAACCTGAACTGGACCTCTCGCTGGACACTGAAGGACATGGGCTGATTCATGTCCACCTCCACAATTTGTTCATTTCCTATAGTGACTGTATGGAGTTACCTCGCAGATTTAGAGAAACATTTCTTGCTTTTTTCACCTCATATCAAGGTTCTTCATCTGTAGCCATATTTTCCTGGAAAGGACACAATAAAATAAGCATCTTCATCCAAATACTACAGTTTTCTTGGGGATCAAATTTCATGGTTTGGGCATGAAATAAAATAGTGCTGATATGAAAATTAGTGGACAATCACCTTGTCCTATTCTGTCATTAGTTAATTTTTTATTTTGTTGATCACCAGTATGTAATTTTGTGGTCTGGCTCAATCACCATCACAACTACATGTATGAGGGTTGTCCAGTAAAATCGTGGACAAGTTGTATAGATTGAAAAATTATAATCATTACTGCGTTCTAAAACTTTCCTTTCTTTTTAGTACATTTTTCATCAATACATATAGCAAATTTCAAATATATATCTGCTCAAATAAACAAAATATGAGACTTTATGTTATATGTGGTATCGATTTACGGCGCACAGATGATAACGTCAAAGTGTCTAAGGCAGCGTCACATTTCCTCTTTGCTAAATAAAAGTTGGATAAGCCCCATTTAAATTCGGGGATTTCATTAATGCACATACTTGATTTTCCCTTTATTCCTCCATAAACAGTCGAGGAACCAATCTCGCACACACATGGGGCCTTCTGAAGATTTATCAGTAAGTTATGGACAGTACTCTCACTATCATTCAACTAAATAGGCTATCTTATATCGACAGTCTACAGTGACAGCGTCTTTTGCTATTGCCAGTAGCTGTTTGTCCGTATGTTTTGTTCTACCCAGTAAGCAGATCAAAAAGCTTCCGCTTAGAAAACTCCCATTTCACTTGTATACTAAAGATCTAGTGATATTTTAATACTTTTTTCTTCTGTAGTCATTTAAAGCTTCTTAGGGTGTCATTACCACATCTAAATCAAACTGAACTGCTCTCCGGTGCGCCGTAACGTCACAAAACATCCCCATTTTTCATGTGTTGCATTTACTTCTTTCCCATTTCAAATGTTTGGGAAACAGCCAAAAATTAAACAAATGCCTTGATATTTTACAAAAGAAGAAATAATAGATAGTGGATTAGAAATAGGATAATTTTTACCCCAACCTTATCTATTTATTATTTAATACTTTTATTCTGAAATAATTCTCGTATATTCGCTAATGAAACCCTGTGTTTTTGATCGTGCGCCGTAGGACCGTACCCTGTGCACATTCAAGCATAATAAAATCTTTATGTCTATATTTTTTCAAAAAAATGAAGATGCACTAAAATATGATGAATAAACATTTGCTGAAAATTTCAGCTTAGTGCGCCCATTATTTTTTGAGAGAAACGCTTTGTCCACGATTTTACCGGACAACCCTCGTAAAATTTAAGCTCTATGAAAAATTATAAAACCACAATACTCAAATTCAAATTTTTTTTGGTGGTGTTATTATATTGAAAATTAATTAGTAACAAGTAATTAGCCCCTTCATGATAACTGCAGTACTACTCTTTTGCAGGGCAAATCAATAACATTTGGCAAAGTTTTTGTTGACAGATAATTAAATGACGTATATTAAACAATTGCTTTTACGTCATATTTCACCAAAACACATCATTTTGCCCTGCAAAAGAGCAGTACCACAGTTATCGTGAAACAGTCTATTCTACATAATTAGCTATCTCACCATAACAGATATTTTGAAATGTACAATTTTTTTTATTGATGTTATTTTTTATACATTATGATGCATGTATTTAAGGATTACATAATCATTATTATTGTAAAGGTTCAAAAGTAATGTTTTTCCTTCTTTTTAAATTTAAAAAATCCACCAGAATTAGTTCTGAAATCTTCTTTAGTTAATTCCCAAGAACTCCTTAGCTTCTGCTTGGACCTACATGTATAATATACATATATGTGGCGGATGGGCAGCTTCGATCACAAGTGGCCAGATTGGTAAGTTGGTAAGGCACCTGACTAATGAATTCAGGGGGCCTGGGTTCAAATCTTGGTCTTGTCTGTCACATTTCTCTCCTTTCCTGTTACCAGTCTGGTCGAACCCCCGAACGGGGGTATACCCCCAAACGAGGGTTTTCCGTCCCGTCATGCAGTGCGCAAGAACAGTAACTCTTGCCGTATCCAATATAAACAAACTTGCCTATATCATCTATCTTAGGAAAAAGATCGATAATAATGTTATTTCTGCTATGAACTTGGTAAAATATCAACAGAAAAAAATTAACAGGTTAAGTTTTCCATAGTTTGAATTTATAATGTAGGAATAACATTATTTTGTACAGGGACCTATAGTATATAGGTCCCTGTTTTGTAGGACGTCTCAATTAGGATTATGGAATTAAAAACACAAGGAAAAATATTCTAAGAATGAGGAAAATATTAATTTAGAATCTAGATTTAAATAAAATTAAATATAATCGTGTTATTCCCCAAACAATCGTATTTATTTAAAAAAAAAAACTACAACAACAAGTTGCCGAACATTTAATTTAATTCTTATAAGATATAAAAGACAATAAATACGATAGATTTCATTTGAATTTTATTTTTATATTATTTTTGTTACACTTCCTGGGCGTGATTATTGATAATAAAGACTGTCGATTGCTAGTCAGAGGAAATGCGGACAGAAACCCACGATCATAAATAAATCGATATTGGCACCATTTTTTCTTGCATTTTACTATGAAAATAAAAGATATATGGTAGAATGATACATTTTTTTTTATAATTTCAATTTAATGTTAGTTGCTTATGTCTGTTTATCGAATATTTTATCTTAAATACCTGCATGTCAAGGAGCAAAAGATCGCCAACTTTGCCAGTGAATAAATCCCGATTTGTACAATAAAGTTGTATTTTTGTAAAATACAAACTCTAAAAACACCTTTAATCTATCATTTCCGAGTGGTTTTACATTTGCCAAATAATCCGTTACTTTGCACCGGCGATTTTTGTAAACCCCTACTTTTTGCGTGAAATACGCACATTTTTAAGCATCTGCGCATGCTCCTACCCCCGTTTGGGGGTATGGATTTCCCATTTCCGTTTACCCCCGTTCGGGGGTTTGACCAGACTGGGTACATGTATAGCATCTTGAAAAATAATGTTCAAAAAAAGGGGGGGGTGTCTGTCAGTGGTCCAGTGTGTCTCAGAAGGAGATTCAAAATTTAACAGAAATGTTGTAAGATTAATTCGCTGACAAGAATTAGAATTTGTGCTTTGGATTTGGAACAGTTAGTGACTGTTACAAATGACAGCAAGTCTATATTTCATGACAGAATGTATCTTTCCAATGATACCTCTACCATTTAAGATCATTCACCAGTCAAATCTGTTTCGTTGGCCCAAAAGTGCACATGATGTGTGAATTGTGAATGTTATATATATTGGCAAATATGAGATGATGCAAATGATTTATATACTGGCAATGTAAATGGTATTCCTTGGTGAGGGTGTGCCTGTAAATGAAATATTGTTTTCAACAAAGTCTGTGCCAGTTTTGTGACATAACTGCCAATAATCGACCCAAATATAGACTTATTACTCACCTATGAGAGCAATTATATGGAAAGACAAATTTTTTTATCAATATTCTTAGCTGCACCGTAATAACAAAATAACACAAATATTGCAGAAGGACTTTCTCTGTAAACAATTTCCTTCGTCTGTTTCACAAGAACGCTTGAATTGTGTGGCATTGGGTAAAACTATTCGTCAAAACTGGACTGGAAAAAATAAATTGAACAGTATTTTAGAGAAGGAACGAGATATAGGATAATATTGATAAGGAATTCTTTTTATTTCTTTAAAAATATTAAAGTTCTTATTATTTTCGCAGCTGCCAATGTAGATGCGAAACAGTGAACAAAGCATTCCCTATGCTACAAGCATGGAATGACAATGTACACAACATGTGAATGATGAGTTAGAAGGGCTCCCTAATCAGGGGTGAGAGGTGTAGTAATGTTAACTGGTCGAAGAAGATATTTATTTGTAAATTTTCCAGAGCATGTGATTGAAATGATATGGTTTTAAATCTTTACTATAATTAAACCAAATTGGTCAAAAAGTGAAAAGCGTACTGAAGTACAGACCCAGTATTGGACTGCTGATCCTGAGATACTACATTAAGACACAATGTCAGCCTTTAGTACTGCCGACGAAATAGTTATCCAGAGGAAAATTGATGCTACAAAACTACATTCTTCTACTGCCAGGAGTGAGATAGAGGATGTGTATGAAATCCCAAGGTGTGCCAGGTGGATAACAAGCAATAGTTATGAAAGGGTAAATCACCTGCACATTAATATAGGCTATCCCTCAATCAATATCAGAGATGTAAAATACATACTGTTAAGTATGACAAGAGGCCCATGGGCCACAATGCTAACCTGAACCATATTGGTCATGATGTTCTTTATCAGCAGACTTTTCCCCCTGTGCTTCCTCGTTCCTTCCAAAACTTTAATTGCCTATTGTGGCCCCACCCTACACCCAGGGGCCATGATTTGAACAAAAATGAATTTACAATACTCAATGATACTTCCGTTTAAATAAGACTAATCAGGATTTGTTCTTGAGATGATTTTTAAAGATCTTTTCATATATATTCTTATGTAAAACATTGGTCACCTATTCCGGCCCCAACCTCCCCCAGGGGTCATGAATTGAACAATCTTGAATGTAAATTACCAGTCAGTGAGAATGTTTCAACATAAATATGACTAATCATTGCTTTACTGTTCTTGAGAAAAAGATTTTTAAAATTTTTTTTTTCTATATGTTCACATCTGAAACCCTGATCAACCATTGTGGCCCCACCTACCTCTAGGGACCATGAATTCAACATCTTGAATCTACAATACCTGAAGATGCTTCCATATTAACATGACTATTCATGGCTTTGCTGTTCTCGAGAAGAAGATTTTGAAAGATTTCTTTCCTTATATTACTTTATAAAACTTTCATTCCCAATTGTGGCCCCACCCTACCCCCAAGGGCCATGATTTGAACAAACTTGAATCTACACTGTGTCAGGAAGCTCTCACTTAGGTTTCCTCATTTCTGGCCAAGAAGAGATTTTTAAGACACCAACCCTATTTTTTGCTTTTCCTTGATTATCTCCCCTTTAAAGAGGGCATTGCCCTTTATTTAAAAAAAAAAATTGAATCCCATTCACGCAAGAATGTTTTTTGATTTATAGTGAAATTGAAATTGGTCCTGTGGTTCTGGAGGAGAAGTTGAAAATGTGAAAAGTTAACAGACAGATGGACGGACAGACAGACGACAGACAACAAGTAATCAGAAAAGCTTATTTGAACCTATAGTTCAGGTGAGCTAATAACTTTATATAGATTAATTTTATTTTTCCTTTCTGTATATGCACAGGTTGCTCTCCAGTTTCCAGATAAGATAATGAGAGATGCAGCTCGAGTTGCTGAAAGACTAGAGGAAGAAACTAAAAAGAAAATAGCTATTTTGGGGGACACCTCATATGGCAGGTATATTGTATATTTATACTTTTAATAGCAACATTTATAATTTAATTCCTGAGATATATTTACATGTTTGGCATCTGATAGGTTTCATCACTGGTGGCCAGATATTTATACATTTAGCCCAGTAGAGCACCTGTCTAAAATTCAGGGGGATCAGGTTTGAATCTAACTAGTTTGATCCATTGCACTTCCTTTCTTTTTGTCAAGTCTTGTGTCTTGACCATGTATTGGATGACGGTAAAAACAAAATTTGCCATTGATGAGCCTTGTGCCTCTTAGAGCATGTTGAGTGATGAACCACATCAAAGAGGGGAGTTGTGTAAGGTCAGACAGGAATGTTTGCCATTGGTTGAGCACCTGTTTAGAAATTGAATCCTGGTTTGGCCCATTGTATTTTTTTCATTTCTGTTACACAATGTGTTATAAACTATTGTCATAAGTACACTGCAGGTAATATCTCTTAGATAGCATCAACGTTAGTAATGTTTTCCATTTTTACTTACAAAAAGTTGCTGTGTGGATGAAGTGGCAGCAGAGCACTTTTCGGCAAACAGTATCATTCACTTCGGTCAGGCATGTCTGAGCCCTACCAATCGTCTTCCTGTCCTGTATGTGTTTGGTCATCAAGAAATTGATGTAACAGATTGCATAGAGAAGTTTTGTAGTTTGTATTCAGCCGAGGATAATGTGGTCCTGATCTATGACACCGAATATGCCTATGTAGCAGGTAATACTAATAGAATTGACTGCATGGTTCTGTAAAATGTGGAAATTTAATTTGTGTTTATTTTTTTGCCAAGAAAGATTATATAAAATAAAGTCTCTCACGAGGCAACTTCTTTAAAAAGCTACAGTATACTAACTTAAACAAATAAAGGCATCACAGAAATAATAAACTTTACACATTTTGCTTTACATACCAGTAAACTTTCTCATCAACAAATATTATGTTCACTGGTTCTTGAGATTAAAACATATTTTGAAATATTAAAGTCTGTTGAAACTTTACATTTTCATTACAGAATCAATTTCCAGTCAACTGACTCCATATTTCAAGAATTTGACAGCGTCACAGCTAGATCTTTCAAACACTGGCTTAGAATCATTTTGTTCAGAAAATACTAGCTCTAGTCAAGAGAACAATGATTTGAACAGTTCAGCATCTGTAAGTACAGATTCTCAGGTTTCGGTTTTCAGGAAATGTGGGAGACTGTTTCCCAACTTGAGTGAACAGGAATTCAATGAGTCCAGAAAAATATTTTATATTGGAGAGGAAAGTCTGACATTATCAAACTTGATGATGACATTTAACAAGTGTACATTCTGTTGTTATAATCCATCACTAAAAGAAATTGTGAAAGAAAATGTAAGGAGCAACAAGGCACTGATGAAGCGCTTTCACATGGTAGAGAGGGCTAAAGATGCCAGTATTGTTGGAATAGTTGTTGGAACACTCGGAGTGGTGAACTATCTAAACATTATTAACAGACTGAAAGATATGATCAAGAGGGCTGGAAAAAAGAGTTATACTTTTGTAGTGGGCAAACTTAATGTTCCAAAACTGGCAAACTTCATGGAAATCGATGTGTTTGTTTTGGTGGCCTGTCCAGAGAACAGTCTCTTAGACAGCTCTGAGTTTTACAAGCCTGTTGTTACGCCATTTGAGATGGAGCTTGCTTGTAACAGTAACTTGGAGTGGGATGGGAACTATGTCACCAGCTTTGCAGACCTTTTACCAGGTACCTTAAGTATTTCGTCATTACTTTTATTTAGATTTGGATCAGTCATCTTTAGTTTCAATTTATTTTTGGTACCCAGTTTGCACATTAAAGGGAAATAACTCTGACAAGAAACTGAAATTCAGGATAAATCATAGGTGTTTTTTGTTTGCTTTTGATGTCAGTTGATTTTTGTCATCAATTCTAGGAGGATCATCTTATAGAGAGCTAATCATTCCTGATGAAGAGGTTGCGGATGTATCCTTGGTTACAGGGAAGATGAGAAATATAGGCGTGTCTAAAGACCCACCAGAAACCATGTCTTCTGTTGTCCTTCGTAGTCAAGCTCTGGGTGTGTCCACAATAAAGGCAGACTCAGCAGGTAAGATTATCCTCTGTGTTATATAGATTTCTCAATTAATTATCAAAGCTTTCAACTTGTATCCTTGGATTTTGAAATTGAATTTAAGTGCTTTTGGCTAGAAAGTATTAAAGTATATACATGTAGGTCCAGGCCTTCCAAAATCTGCTGGTACCCAGTACTTTTACCTGACTGAAATTTGAAGGAAAAAAAAATTATAACATATTTAATTAAAATCGCTTCCCTAAGGTATCTCCTATTTGGTTTGAAGTACCACATGTTTCTAATCTTTTTGAAAGCCTTGAATAGGTGCATCAGTGTTAATTCATTAGGTTCTAGAAATGATGAAACTGCAATCCATATAATAAATCTTGAAGGAGTGGAGAGTAGGATTTACAAATTTGATTAATACTTCTATAAGAAAATGATTGCTATCTATGACAGTAGGAAATAAAATGGATCCGTTAGTCAGAGTAAAAAGAAAAAAAAAAACATTTTCAGCTGACCTGTCCCATAGGCACAACTTAGCACTTCTGATTGAAGTCTGTTTGGCATATGCCAAAATATTTGTTGTCAGAACAGCAAGGATAAACTATTAACTCTCAAATTAAAATGAAAGCATCCTTTTGTAGTGGAGTTTAAAATTTATTCATGACCCTAGAGTGGGTCACAATATATCGGGTTTTGCAGTTTGATAATAGTGTGTCAACTACCTGCAGAACATCAAGACTTTAATTTGCTAATTTACTATGTGATGCAGTGATGATGATGTGTGTCCTTTGACTTAGTTTGGCAATGGAGCCAAGGAAAGGGTGCTTGCTACATATTAATTTGGCAGAGAGATCGAGAGTACCATAATAACTCATGTGAGCCCTGTGGCCTTTGGGCCTCCTATTATAGATAGACTTGAAATTTCATAAACAGTATGATCAGGATTCAGTATTTTGGTGGATCGATTTAATTTACTTGAAGTGGACCTATTTATCATTAGGGGGGAAAATGCACAATAATACAGAGAGACATCTTTTGAACTCTGGTCGGTAGATGTAATTTCCACTTTTCTTTTCACAGGGGAGTATCTTTCTAACAGATCATGGCGAGGCTTGGACCAGCAGCTTGGGCAGACCCCCGTGACAGATGCAGTGGAGGGATTGTTTGGAATAGCTGCTAATTATACTGAAAAACCAACAAATAAAGACTAATATATAATATGTGTATTTCTTACTCTTTTCCTGTAAAATGTTTAAAATGTTTGTATTTATTACAATATAATATAAATCTTGAATTGCAAGGATATATATTGAGAAATTGACCAGATTAGACAACTTTTTTTAAAATAATCGAATTTACTGAAAGAGGCTTAGAATTTACATCATATCAGGCAAGATTTCAGAATACAAAACATCCAGATTAGACAACTTTCACTGTAGATTCAAGTTTTTTTTTTTCATTTTTTTATCAAATAAAACCCAGGCTAGGCTGGAGTCAAAGTAAGGGTCTATATTTTACATAGGGGGATACAGTTTGGCCAGCTTTAGACAGATAAATATGCAGATGGTTCAACTTGCAGCTTTTTTAGGACAAGATGAGGCCGCAATGAGGGGGGAGGGGGGGGGGGGGTCGACGTCTTTCATAGTTTCAATCATAAAAAATCTTTTTGAGAACAGCAGGACCACAAGTTCTAAAATTAATGTGCAAGAATGTTCATGTACCGGTAGTACTGATTAAATTTGATCAAATCATAGTCCCTGGGTCTAGATTGGTGCCACAATGAATGAAGGCAAACTTTATACAAGTAAACACAGGGACAGCTAGTATGCAAAATCTTATGAACCCTCTCTACACTGCACATTAAAGAGTTCTGATTATATAGTATTTTTCTGCAGTTAGAGTGATCTCTCCTTAGTTCTGAATTCAAATAAACTGAAATCTTCAGTGTATTACTCAATTTGTGATCAAGCATTCCGAACATTTTAAAAAGCCAAGATAAAGTAGTTGAACAGTTTATTTGTATGTATTTCCCCCACTGAAGTAAACAACAGTGATTTTTGTTCATTGATACTTTGTTGCCTTTGAACATTATTCGGGGGGGGGGGGGGGGGGGGGGGGGGGGGGGGGATGCCATGTACCATATATTGAAAATTAAATAGATTAGCTCAATGATTGCACATTTATTCAGTATAATTTTCTCAGTGTCCAAAAGACATTTTGCACTGTTGTAATGAGGGTCCTTAAGGATGAATAACGCAAACTTTTTTTTCAGAAATTAGCAATGTATCTCAGATTTATATTTATATAAGTAACCTAAATAATGTTTACCAAGGTAAGTGTGAAAATTTTGTAAGAATTCGTAATAATGTTAAAGAAAGTGTGCAAAATTTTGTATAGTGTACATAGAAAACAGCGTAAAGTCGCATTATTTCAGCATCAAAGAAAACGTAATTTATATTGTATGGATTTATTGTGCTATTTTTATTCAAAATCGGTCCAAAAATGTACATCAATTCATGCATCAAATTTTTTGTGTTATGTATCCCTAAAGGTAGCAGAGGATAGATACAGCCAGAGTCCAATCTCCCCACATAGTTTAGATTCAAGTTTGTCCAAATCATGGCCTGTTAGATCAGGATAAGGCCACAAAAAGGGGGGGGGGGGTGTCAGATTTTACTTAAGATGCCCATGGATCAGAATGCTCACCTTAACTTTGGAGAAGATTTTAAAAAGATTTTTCTGTACATTTCCATGAAAAATTGATCTTGTATTATGGCCCCACTATAATTTTGAGGGGTCTCTAAATCCACACAGCATGGCAATGATTTAATATCAATATGACTAACATGGCTTTGCAGTTTGGAGATTAAATTTCTTTTCATGTATAGAAGCATTATCTACAATTGATCCCTACTTAAGCCATCTCTAACTCAGGGTTTTTAATTTGAACTTCTGATGAAAAGTATGACCATGAAAGTCAAGATAATGTGCAAGCTTTCCACATCATGTAGAATCAAGTTTGTTCAGACCATAATCTCTGGGACTAAGGTGGGGACATAGTAAGAAATCAAGTTTAACACTGGCAAATACTCAGTAAAATGGAAAAAAATTGATTAAAAACTTGTCAAGACCAGCAAGGGATATAAGTTAATTAATTTTCAAACATCCTCATGTTGTATAACCTCAACAGCAGTGAAATTATAGCACCCTAGAGTAGGGCCACAATAAGAAGTCAATATTCTGTATAGGAATATGAATGGGGAAAATCTTATTCTGCAGAACAGTATTGAGTTTGTCTAATTAATGTGAAAGCATTCCTGCATTCCCACATAATTTAGATTCAATAGGTTTCAAACTTGGTAGAGAAATGGGAGAGGGGGTTATAGGAAGAGGTGAATTTTTACATAGAAGTAAACAGACTTTTTCAGTACATATAACAGCAAGACAAAAATTTAAAAGACTAAAACCGTATCAATCAATAATCTGTAGAATTGTTCACACACAGTAAATGATGGTTGAATTTACTCTTATGTAACACAGGTGAGCATTGTAGCCCATGGGCTTTTTATCATTTAAAAAAGACTGCACAATTAAGAATAAAAACCCTTTAAAAAATCACAATATCTACCTGAACATTCCTGAGGGAAATCATAGAAATAAGGAAATCATAGAAATAAGGAAAAGACATATTCATCCAATAAAATGAATATGGCTTTGCTCATGATTTTGACCTACTGGAGATAACTCATTGATATACTGTACTTGTGCTAGAAATCTGAATCCCACTATGGATTTTCTGTTCATCTATACTACTTAACAGGAAAGAAATTATACATGTACATCAACCTAGAAGCCACTGTTGACAAAAATCAGGAAAAATTATTCCATTCTGCAGGTGAAAGAATGAGGCCCAAAGGTCATTAAAACTATTTAAATATCCAAGGCTGTTGATTCAGAAGTGAAATGTTGTTTGTGAATTTTGATACACTTCCCATATACAATGTAGCTAACAAAGCTCGTTAATGTCTTGCTTTTTGAAGGAAAAGTGATTCAATTTCCAAGATTATTCTATTTTGATCTACCAAGGTCTTGACTTTCCGAGAATTTAAACTATTAAATGGCATTATAGAAAAAGTATAAGAAATTTCTATTGCTGTATTTACAAACATGATCCTTCTATCTATGATTCCAGGAAGTCTCTTAGAAAAATAAGTTAATCTAAAAAGAAAATCCAATTTTTATTGAAGTAACCAGGGTAAAGGGGCCTGAACACAGATGCATATATTTATATTTTAAATTTCTACGTTTATTCAAAAATAATTTCAGTTACCGGTAAATGAATTGAACTTACATGAATATTCTTAGAATTCAATGACAAAGACATTCTTCTTTAAATCACGTCAAACGTCTGTGTTTGTAAACAGGGCACCAGCTCTGTCATTGTTAATGTTTATGAACCAGATGTGTTCAATTTGTTAACTGCACACAGCACTGAAAATGAACTGACAATGCAGGTGAGTTGGTTTTGCTTTCTCAAATTTCTTCTCTGTGTTTTCTGGATTATAGTTACGAAATGTTCCACCTGGAATATAGGGGGAATAGAGGCGTACTTGGAGAAGGGATTCCGGGCGTCAGTTTGTCTCGATACATATATGGTGATATACAGGTTCCGGGCGTAACCCAAGAGGAATCTAAGAGGAATTGAGCAGGAATTTGAGGCGAAAAATGCAAATGAGCTACGCCCGGAAAAATAAATGACGCCCGGAAAAAACTTACGCCTGGAAACTAAAATGACGCCTGAAGCAGAATTACGCCTGGGAAGTCCTTATTATTATATAATACTATGTGACCTAAAAACCTATAAACCAAGAAAAAACATTTAGGTTATGATTTACAATGTTAAAGTTAAAAATTTAGCCTTTTGAACTGGAAGAAAACATAATGACAGGTCATTAACATAGTATAGAAATATAATTTATAAAAGCCGTTTCAATTTTTTGTATAAAGGACACTGTCAAACACCACCATGAGTGTAAAATAATGTTTGAGAATTCAATAAACTTTTTAAAATACATTTTATCACTTCAATAATCAATCACTTCAATAATCATGACACTGAAACAAATTACTTAATACTGTTCTTCATTTATTCAGTACTTTACAATTCAAATGCCTCTATCAGACTAACTCAAAATATCTAAAGTAAAGAGTCAATAAGTTATAACTTATGATCATTGTACATAATCATAATCAAAGGATCTACTCAAGTTGATACCAGATATTAATTATCACACCTACCAGCAGATACTGTGTCATCCAGAACAAGTGTAAAAGCCTTAACATTGGTATATCTGTATTCCCTATTTCACTCACACTAAACTCCCTCCTTCCTGATCAAATTCAAACTTAACCTCCTATCTGAAATGACCCTTAATTGATAATTAAATTGAACAATCAGGCGCTTTTACTCCTCCTGAAAGTTCCAGGCGTAATTTTTGTTTCCATTTTCCTGCCATTTTACGCCAGGAAAATCTGAACTTGCCAATTGACGCCCGGTAAGTAGAAATAACGCCTGGAAGACGCCTCTTATATTCAGGCGTAACTTTTCAAAAACTCTGTCTCCACCTCAAGTACGCCCGGAATTTGCCAATTCCTGCTAGATTCCACCCATATTCCAGGCGGAATCCGCCTTTAAAATTCATACAGGTATAATATTTCTCATTAATACAGAATAAAATTTATACTTTCCTTAAGTGTTAAGGTTAAAGTTGACTTTAGTTGTGAAAATTCCAGGATATGTGTCAATCAAATGCGTCCCAAGATTCATAGTTTTAAAAATCTCCAGATGAAAGAAGTTTCTAAACACACTTTTATTACATTTGGGCATATGAGTCATGATATTATACTGAAAATTTTAGAAAATATTAACTTCAAATCTGTGTTCAAGTCCCTATAACAATACTCAAATTCAGTTTTTCAGTATTTTTGTAGCATAATTCACAGGCCAATCAAACAAGAGCCCCGTTGGCCACAATGCTTGCCTGAGTCATCTTGGCCCTGCTTTTTTTTTCAGAACATTGGTTCCACCCTAGCCCAAGAGGCCATGATTTGAACCAACTATACTTCCTGATGATGATATCTGCATAAAATATGACTAGTTATCATCACTATGCTGATCTTTTCAAGAAGATTTTTTTTTTCTTTGATTCTCTATTGTGGC